TCTATAATTAAACGTATGGAATTTTACGGCTGGTGCACGTTTTATCAAAATTCTATAACACAAAGATATTCAAATCCCTGTAGTTATATCATTATCCACACTAATATTTATCAAATCGAATTCGACCGATTACAAAAGAAAAATGCCACTTTCGGAAATATTCGGGTAACAATTAGGAACACTTTATTTAAAGGGAGCGTTTAAGTTTAGCATACGAAACCTCCATTTGCCAATTTGGAATTCCGAAGCCAACAGTAGTCATCAACTTATTGTTAAATGGCCGTTTCTCATTCCGTTTCCGGAGGCAATTCTTTTTAGATTGCAGCCGATAATCGTTTTTTAGACACGCGAGTTTTTTTGCTGCTGTTTGTTAACCACTTATCTGAGTTTAACGGTGAACAGTTAAACTTTTCTATAAGCTTTCATTTAATTTACTGCTTCACTTTTGTTTATTGTCTATAATTAAAAAAAAATATCGAAAAAGAAGTGAATATGATTTTCAATTGGATTTTAATATATAATAATTTAAGAGGTACCCCAAGTTTGCCAGAATTAAGAGTAAATGATTTGTCTTATTATTTCATATAATTAGCAACAGTTTCAACAAATCAAAGGCGCATAAAAACGAAAATGGCTTTTAGAAAAAACCATAACGATCGCTCTCAATGAGTAGTCGGTTTTGTCCTGCGGCGATGCACCCAGTCTAAAGGGCACTGCGTGGATGGCGACGAGAAGAGTTATAGTAATGAAAATAAATAATATTATTTAATTATTTTAATTATACCTTTTTTAGCACCTTTGTGCTTTAAATAATGTTTTACATAAAAAATTGGAAAAGCTATTTTGAGGGCAATGTCTGGTCTGCGTCAGATGTCAGTGGCATCCAATCTAAATAATAAATTATGTTTTACTGTTATCTATCATCAATAAAAGTTATATTATTTGTACTCACTCTGTGAACATTCAGTCGACGTCGCTCCCGCTCCACTCGCCTACATGTTCTATCACTGAGTATAATTGTCGATGGTCGCAAATTATAAATTCATTAAACACTGCCTCCGTCTGGACTGGAGATTTTTCATGCTAAGTGTTCTGATGTTTGGCCCGTATTGTTGTTTCGTGTCGTAACTTATAATAATTGTATTATTTAAGTACAGTTGTATAGTTGTAAGACGCAGTTTACATAATATTTCAAATGCTTAATATCTATATTGACGTAGCTATATATTTCACTAGCTCGGAAATACTACTCCTTTTATGGAGCGGATAATCGGTTCACCAAAGGGAACTGGAGGCTGTGCTGCGATTAATACAGGAATACTTACTTTGCAATGGCACAAAATCATGGAGCAGTTTTTGTCATTATCTGACTCGCGTGCGCAGCTGAATTCGGTGTCTGCCAGACTTGATTTGGGGATTGTGTACCAGACTCACTCTCTTTCTTCGACACTTTGTGTATTGAAAGAATAATTTTATTCAAATAAATAAGGTATGCGTAATGTGTATTACTAAGTATTAAAAAATTTATGCTATTACACAAGTTAAGTTCCGTGGCAGTGGTTGTAGTAGATATGTTCAAATATTTCATAAATAAAACTTCTTTTTTTAAAGCTATGAACTGGCTTTAATCGTTTATAACATCAGCTTATAATTAACATATAATTAGGGGTTGCAACGCTAACAAAAAATTAACTTGGCTTATTTAAAATGTATATAGGTGTAACTTAACTACTTCTAGGTTACATAACTCACATATCATCTCATTTTTTTGAACAAACTTATCAGAAGAAGAAAAAGAGTAGTACCTAGGTATCTTCAACTTATTTGCAAATATGTATAATTTGTCGCACTTGTGGTCGTTCTTAACTCATTTAGGCGGCAAATTGATACATTGAATAGTTAAGCCCAAAGAAAATCTAATGTCGAATGTGACATTAATTCCGACCCAAACATTCAAAAGTAAACAATACTGACGACGGAGGATAGAGGATTTAGATCGTTCGCTCAAATTGACTTGAAATTAAATGATGACATAAGGCAGTTTATGAACGAGCCAGAGTTGTAATAAATGTAATGATTACATTATTTTTTCAAGAAAAAGGAAATATTAAATCTGTTTCATCTGACTGTTTTCTAATATTACTTCTACACGACTTTAAAAGGCAGACATAAAGATAAGGCAGACTATACCTATGCCAGCAACGTGTAAATCACTAGCTAGCTAAAAATGTGAAAACTCAATATGTGCTTAGATTTCCAAGCGTTATAGACGTTCGTTAAAGACACAGCTTGCTCAGTATCGAGAATGAAATCCGATTACTCGTGCTTAGTGTCCGTCCAGCGCGGGATATAACGCGTTAAAAGGGCTTACGATTTATTTTCTTTGTACTTAAATATGTTTTCCCGTGAACTACCAAGAGCTTCGACAGGTAAACACGAACACGCGAATCCCTCGATTGACCGAAAATATACTTGACATCTTCCCTATAATCAGTAGCTTTTAGGCCAAGGGCATTATGTCAAAGGGAGTAATAACTCAGACTTGTTGCTGTCAGTAACAATTAGAGCTATGGAGAACAAGATGGTTTGTTCTTTTCCGAATGGTGGGAGTAATTTTTTTTCGCGCCTTCAATATTTATATAAAGCTTCAAACCAATTGAAATGGTACTGATGAGATTTAAATTTCTATAAAGATTTTGTATTAGATATCGACTCCCTAGAAGTAGAACAGTAGCTGCCGTTAACTTTCTCCGCCTTCGGGTCTTTGAAGTCTGTCAGTGAAATATCGACACGTGTTCGTTGGTATTGTTGTCTACATTCAGGGCTCGTCCTAGAATATGTCGATGTGTGTGTGTATGTGCGATACAATCAATTCACGTTAATGATTTTACATAAAAAATTATGATTGCTTAGGTTTAAGCTTTTTCGCGAAAAGTTACCTCTAATAGCCTAGATAAGCGCTTCCGAACCTCCTTGTCATGAGTTTGATACTTTTAAGAGATGGATCACACTCTCTCTTGAACTCTGATACATAAGCAAATTTAATAATTATATATAAATATAACACATACCAATATTGAAGCATATTGGTATAATCTTAATTCAGAATTGGAACAAAGCTCGTCAACGCGCATGTCCAGCCAATCGCGAGTAAAAACTTCCAAACAATACAATCCGGTAATGCACAGTGCGCGCCAGCTGGGGCGGCCCCGCACTGACCACGCCCTGCCCAAACTCCGCCCATAAGCTCCTCACGTGATTTATGAACACATTTTTAAATAACACACAATCATGTAAATCTGTCAATTGCTTATTTTTGGCTGACATAAATCTGTCTCGAATGTTGACCGGAGAGTGCGCTGTAGCATTATTATAACCTAGGTATCGACTTGACTGTTGGTCTTCTCTCTCATATGAAGATCGCATATAAATAAATATTAAATAGTGTAATTCAATCTGGTGGATTTCATTTAATGCAGGTGTTATTATGTAGAAAGGACCTTTTAGTAGACTAGAGCAACTTTCTTAATAATTTCGTAAAATAATGAAATGTAATGAAATAAGTTACATATCCTAATAGTTGTATAATATCATTGTACCTATTAACTATTAGTTTAAATATAAATAATAAAAAATATAAAAAATTAGGAATGGCAAATTAATCAAGAGATATAAACTGAATGAATTAAAACTTAACTAAGATATGCTGTCCCGTACCCGAAGATCATCTCGTTCAATAGAAAATAGCCTGTAATGAAATCTCATAAGGTCCGTTATTGAATGAGTGCATGATAGGTGTATGATGCAGAATGTCGATGACCTAACACACCTGGCGCCTAACCGCAATCCGACAAGTACCTCCTGATGAATCAGTTTTAAGTAAGCCAATAATTAATCCGAGAGATATTATTCAGTGAGTTGAATTTCAATACGTGCCTACTATCTAGAGATATCCGTTCGGTTAACATAATTACAATAAAAGAGAAAACCGAAGATTGTATTGGAACTTTTCGTTTTACTTGATCTTCGTAGTGACGTATACGGTGTAACTCTCACCTATTGATTCTTTCGTGAAGGTTTAAGGTTGTGGTCATCGTTTATAGAAGTGGCTGCAGGGGGGCTCCTAATTAATTTCTTTATCACAATTCATAATTTTAACTTAGCGATATTTCTTAAGGGAGCATACGGCAATGCGTTACGTTATACATTTTAAATAACTAATTACATAATTCTATAAAAATATTAGAATATGAAATTACTCCGCGAAAACCTTTGGGGGGCAATATCTATTCCATCCATCCCATTAGTTAGTGTAACACAATTGAAAACCCACAAATAATATATACGAAGACACAAATAGAACCTCGACACGTTATCAAAAATCATTAGGGCAGATGCGAAAATAAAAAACGGACAGGTAGCATTAAAAAATACGTTGGGATCAGGTGCGCGGAGCGAAGGCTCTGGCGCTGTGTCGGGCGGCGCACGAGTCGGCAGGTGCCGCCTATGGAGGGGGCACCTCACTTAACGTCTTACAAACTCGATCAAACGCTCGAATAGCCTCTAACACGAACGCCGAAGATCCCAATTGCCTCGAACCGCTCGCAACGGCCTCTGTAGGGCTTTACTCCTCTCCTTTTTATCGAACAAAAAATGAACTGTAAACGCGATCACGGCCGTGCCTAAGGTCAATGTTAGCGCTTCCTTCAGTGCTCGTTCAGACAAGATCGCGCGCGCATCCTATCTCGCGACCGCCCCATCGGTATCGTGCAACAATATCGGAGTTGAACGAACCTTACCGAAATCAGTGTAGGGCTGTGTAATTTATCGCGACGTTTTAAAGGACGATCCATCACCGCGACATCGATAAGGCCTCATCTTCCCAATAAATTATTTATGCTCATTAATTGTGATGAAGGCGAGCGGCCGCATTCCCGGTGATTATTCATTTATGACACGGGCTTGAGGACTGGACCGATTTCGGGATATGTGCCAGTAAGATGGAGACTCTAGTACTGATCCCCCAAGAGCTGAGCTTGGCTTTGAGGCCGGGAGGCGCTAGAGGTCGGGAGGCTTCGGTCAGCGTTTGGACTTCCATGGAAATAACAAGGGGTGCACTTTTGTATCCGTTTCAGGGGACGATAAGAATTGATAAGCTTCATGTCTACTCTTATGCACCCGATCATGATGTGAGTACCTTTAAATATTTAATGGGTAGTTTTGTAATTGCGTATTTTAATAAAATTATTCAACATCGATAAACTATAAAGATGACTGTCTTAATTAACTCGTAATGTATTGACAGTATAATGAAAATTTCATTAGCTAAATCGTATAATTTGGTATTGTTTATCAAACAATTATCTGATGATAAAAATCTAATATAATTTACTATAGCATTTTGCATAATACATAGTGACGAACTCATTACGAAAAAAACACAAACATTTATATGCTTGTCCCATTTAGCAAAACTGGATCTAGAATCTGATATTTAGGTCATAATTGCAAAATAATCTAAAGATTTATTTTATATTGACCTTTTTCTAATATGTAACCATTAAGATCACAAGTGAATGTCACTTATCTCCTTAATTTTAAATTATTGATTGATTTTTGGTGAATTAAAGAAATCCTCGTACACATATCCCATATTTTGAGTAAATATCATTTTAAAATATCACTTGTATAATTAACAATATCCGATTGCCATAATTCGCGTCTTTATATTTCTGCAAGTTTTCACAAAGGAAATGACTCACTCAGAATTGATTAAATAGCTTCGAATGCTGTGGCGTAATAAAATTATTATCTAACACAAATATCAGACTGACATTATTTAATAATTATGTTAATCTCTAAAAATCCTGCCCAGTGAGCGCTAAATAAACGTGAGTTTTTAATTTCAGTTCAGTTTCATTGATACATATCTATGCACAAAGAAATATTTCAATAAGTATAAAAAATGTTTTCGACCGCAAGTGGTTCAGCCGACGAAGCTCACGTAGCGCCTCGGTTTGAGATGGTTTTTATCTCCAATCATAGAATTACACTGTTGGTATAACCACATGATTGTTTCCAATACAGATTCGATTGTTTCAAATTGTTTGTTTATCGATATGCAACACTTTACTAGTAATATCGGAGAGCGATTTAAAATTGGTTCGTACAGTTCAAATGGTGGGTACCTACTTTTATATATCTATTGATATTCAATAGTTTTACAATTACAATTTAACTTTATTGAACTAAACTAAGCTTTACAGCGTGCGTGGTCACGGTGACATTAAATTAGAAATAAAATAAAATAAATTGAATAAGGTTAAATTTAGAATTATGTAAAACAATTGTAAATTTATAATAATACATAACTTTAATCCGGTTAAAAAGTGTTTTCTTTGAATTTGTCTTTATTAAAAAGATATATTCGTTTACGCTTAAGTTACTTTAGAAATACTGAAGTGAATTTAAATAGAATATCTGAGAGATAAAATAATTACAACAATGTATTATTTTTCAAATTGCAAAAAGCCTGCGACGAGGCCTGTGAACGGGAATATCGACACATGCACGACTTTCACCGAAATCAACTAGTTTAAGTAATGCTGGGTGTGGTCAGTGAGTAAAAGGTTTCAAAGCCTATCACTTACTTCGGTGAACAAATAGCCAATTGCTCCAATATTATTTTACACTCCCTCTGCTCCTTGTAACTTATGTCCTAGGATAGTAACCCTACTCATACAAAATTATACAAAATCGGTGAATTCATTTCAACAACAAACATACACACACATATTTACTTCAATATGTATAGGTAAATATGATGATGACATTAGCGAACAAAAACCTCGATTTTAATAGTTACCTACTTTATAAATCTTCGTATGAATAAATTTTACAATAAATTAATTATTACGATCGAAATTGCGTCAATTTTTCACCCAAGCAATTCCTCTTCCGTATCAAAAACAATATTTATTTGCACCGATAAATATTCCAGTATTAAGTATGTCATGATATTTGTACGATAAGATTAAAAGAACAAAAGTTTATTAGTTGATTTAATTGTGTAATAATATGATATTGGTGAAATTTGTGCGATTCGAGCGATTTCCTAATTAAGACGGGTGCATTGTTCAAACAAAGGCATATTTGTATTTGTAATATTGTGTTCGTAATTAATTTCAGTTCGTTAAGCTTTCATTGAGTGAGCCACTTCTCATTCGGCACAAGTTACAAGTTTAAGCGATTTAATAAAATGTTAAACGTTTAATAGAGGAGCGAAATATTAATTTCTATCAGTTAAAATGTTTATTTGTTATGTCTACTGAGCTGCTAGATTTTTGGTTTTATCTCCCTCCTTATCATTGTAGTCGCTCCGAAATGTTTAGTAATTATACATTTTTTAAAATACGAATCTTCGTTTCGATTCTATTACATACTATAGAAAAATAACACATATTATAGTTGTATTGCTATAGATTATACGTGTCCGTTTCAATAGACCCACACAAATTTCATAGAATCCAGCTTTTAAGTTAACCCACTGAAACTTTTCGTAAGGAAGCACGCGCTGTGGCGGTCATTACGGCCACAGCTTTGTTCCATACAAGAGGCTAATTACAATTGTCTGAGATGTTTTGACAACGGCTATTTATAATAATACCACAGAGCATTCAAACTTAGCAGGTCGACTTCTAAGCCAGGTGGTTATTAACAATAATTCTGGTTCTAGTTATTGTTTGGATTATACAACGTGTATATTTCTTGTGCTAGTTTCGAGATGTCACACCTTTTATTGCTAAACGTATCTTTTATATATATATATATATATATATATGACAGATAAATATAGTTGTGCCCAGCAACAAATAGGGGAGCACATATTGGCCATGGATGAGGTTCTGCTACTGTCTCAATACAATGAACAACGCTTCTTGTCATTGACCAACAATTGCCAGTGTGGTTTTAATGGGACAAATGCGGAGCCTCCATTGTTATCATGTGAGCCCAGTGTGCAGAGTGACAGTTTCATAGAAAAAGTTAGTGTAAATAAAAGTGAAATTCTGTTATTTAGTGATGATATAGGGAAAAATATTGGTACTAAATTATATCAGTCCTCCGGCAAAATTGTAACAAATCATTGTATGCCCGGAGCCACCCCTGTAACCATTTTCAACAAAGTCTTGTGTGGAAATTACACAAATCACACAACTTTAATATTGCTTTTTGGGAGAAGGGAAATGTAGGACAAAATGAATTGTTGTCATTCATTGATAAATTAAAATCACTTAATGTAGAGAATATTGTCTTGCATACATTTCCTTACATCAAAGGTGCACCAAAGGAAAATAAAATTAGATATAAGTTAAACATGTTGTTGCACAATACGTTAACTACTAACAATATACAATTAAATTGTGGCTTAGGTACACTACCTAATTTAATGGACATAAATTGTATATTTAAAAATAAGTATGTATTGACAAAGGATAGGTTCCGCCTACCTAATTATTATTTACAACAGATAGCTACTATGCTATCTTACTTTTTATTTACAACTAAAGCTAAACATTTAGCTTTTCAGACAACTGCTTCTATTGAGCAGCTAGCTTTTCAGACAACTGCTTCTATTGAGCAGCTTAGCTTAAGTGAATGTAGTGATACTTGCAGTAGCACTTCATTAAGTATAAATAATTTAAATTAGATAGTGTGACAATAGAGGCAAACTCTAGCAATAATTTAGTACAACTCAGCTCAACACAAACATGTTATATTACTAACAACAACTGTTTAAACTTGATGCATCAAAACATGCAAGGTATGTTGGGCAAAGAATTAGAATTGGAGTTGTTTTTAAAATCAAGTAAAATTGATGTCCTATGCATTACCGAACATTGGCTTAGAGAATGCCAAATCATCTTTAACTTTGATCAGCACCAAGTTGCAAGTTCGTTTTGCAGATTGTCGGCGATTCATGGGGGCTCTTTGATTATTGTTAATAAAAATTTAAAGTATAAAGAGCGTAATGACATCGTGTGTCTGTCTGTAGAACACTCTTTGGAAGTAGCCTGTATAGAGATTGAGAATTGCATTATTTTAAGTGTTTACAGACCACCAAGTGCATCTTACGATTTTTTTTGAAGAAAAGTTGGAGGAAATTTTGTGTAAAGTTAGTTTTAAGAACAATAAGTATATTATTGTATGTGGTGACTTCAATATAAATTTATTAGAAAATACCTCCATTAGTAAAAAATTCAATCTGTTATTAAAATCTTACAATCTTGTTAACTTGTTTCTTGAGCCCACTAGAATTACAAGCTCCACTGCTACATGTATAGATAATGTATTTACAGATGCAGAGGCAATACAAACCTCAATTACAACTGATCTTAGCTCAGATCATTGTGGACAGTTAGTGGCGCTAAAATGTAAAGTGGTGAAACAAGTAAATAAGAGCAGTGTGTTTGTTCCAGTGAATAAAAAGCGAATGGTGAGATTTAGACATAATATAGGTAAACGCCTACCTTTATTACCGGTAGGTACTACCGTTGATACACAATACAACAATCTAAGTGATTGTATTAATAAAGAGTTCAACACCATCTTTACCCCAAAGAAAGTCTCTCATTCGCAGTGTAAATCGTTTAGTGATTGGGCGACAGCGGGAATTTATAAAAGTAGACAACGGTTGTATGACCTTTACGCTGAAAAGTCATACAATCATAATGAAGAATTTATTCTTTATGTTCGAAATTATTCGAAATTATTTAAGAAAGTTTGTTACGCGGCCAAGTCCTTAAATATCAAAAACAAGATTAAAAATAGTACCAATAAAACTAAAATGACTTGGAAGATAATTGATAGTGAAACTGGAAGAGTCAGGGATCGCAATCAAGACATCGAACTATGTGTCGATAACACTATAATCAAATCTAACGAAGAGATAGCGATTGTTTTTGATAAGTACTTTTCTGACATTCCAATTTCGACTACTAAGTCTCTTCAATCATCTCCCGCCCTCGCCGAATCGCTGCTCAAAGATAATGTAAACGAGTGCAAGGTCAGTTTTTCATTCCGACCCATTGGTGCCGACGATATAGTGAGGATATTTAGAACCATAGATATTAAGAACACTACCGATCTTTGGGGTATTTCTGTAAAAATAATTAGTAGCATAATTGATGTAATTGCTCCCCATCTAGCTATAATTTTCAACAATTGTATTAAAAGTGGCGAGTTTCCCGATCTAATGAAACATAGTAAAGTTATTCCTTTATTTAAAGCAGGTAGTATGTCCGACCCCAGTAACTTTAGACCAATTTCCGTACTACCTACTTGTAGTAAAATATTTGAAAAAATTATATTAAATCAACTGGTAAGTCATTTTAACGTAAACAAATTATTACATAATAATCAGTTCGGTTTTACCAAGGGTCGCTCGACAGCCGATGCCGGTGTTGAGTTATATAGATATATAGTTAAGGCTTGGGAGGAGTCGCATGACGCTTTAGGTGTTTTCTGCGACTTATCCAAAACATTTGATTGTGTCCAACACGAGACCTTAATCGGGAAACTCCGCCACTATGGCATCAAGAATACCGCACTGAATCTTCTGACTTCCTATTTACACGGAAGAACTCAGAAGGTTGAAGTGAATGGTAAGAGGTCCTCTGGGTCGGCAGTAGATATGGGGGTACCACAGGGCTCAATTCTTGGCCCTTTCCTCTTTCTTGTTTATATAAATGATCTACCTTTCATGGTAGAGAGAAAACATCAGATAGTTTTGTTTGCTGATGACACGTCCTTGATTTTTAAAATCAAACGACAAATAACAAATTTTGACGATGTGAACAATGCTCTGTCTTCGATTGTCCATTGGTTTTAGTATGAATAACCTTCTACTTAATGCAAAAAAGACAAAATGCATTAAATTTTGTGCAAAAAATGCAAGGGTTATGGATACTAGACCAATTATAAACGGTGAGGAATTGAATCTGGATGATACAACTGTATTTCTCGGAATCACCATGGATTCAAAACTTCAGTGGTCCCCTCATATTAACGGATTGGCGAAGAGACTTAGTTCTGCAGCCTACGCGGTTAAAAAAATTCGCTCACTAACTGATGTCGATACAGCTAGACTTGTTTATTTTAGTTACTTTCATAGCTTAATGACTTATGGCTTATTATTATGGGGTCATGCTGCTGATGTCGAAACTATTTTCATCCTGCAGAAGAGGGCTATTCGTGCAATCTATAATTTAAAATGTAGGGAATCTCTTAGAGATAAATTCAAGGAAATTAATATACTTACCTTTCCCTCGCAATATATTTATGAAAATATTATGTATGTATACAAAAATAGTGATAAGTTTACTAGAATAGAACATACGCACAATGTTAATACACGGAACAAACGCAGGCTGCAATTTCCCCGTACTAGACTATCTAAAGTTAGTAATTCTTTTTTGGGGAAAGGGATACTCTTCTTTAATAAAATCCCAGAGGCTCTTTTATCACTGCCTTTCAATAAATTTAAAAAATGTATTAAAGAAAAGCTGTGTAAAAGGCTTACTATAAAGTCAACGATTATCTAGTTGATAAAAGGGCCTGGGACTAGTGCTAGACAGGCTACTTCTAATCAATTTGCGATATTTGTTTTAAATAAGTGTTGTTTGATGATTTGCTGTTTTAAAAGAGTACCGAGAGTTTTTTACGCCGGCTTTTTCTCCCCGGCCTACCCCCTCTGTCTTCTTTGTCGATGTGTAGGGATGCCTTCAAATTTTATGACGTGGAATAAGTGATACATGTATCTTATGTTCCATAATAAACGTATCTTTTTTATATATATTATATTATAATACAGTTTTAGCAGCGGTTTTATCGGTGCCACGACACTATTCAGTTTGTTCTTCAAGTCTAGTCTCCATCCCTTGTCCCTTGAATAAGTAGGGTGTGATCACATACAGCTACGAATTTGTCAGTCAGTATTCCACATAACTATTTCTCCTTAAGATTACAATACATACTCAGTAAGGTAGCGTTGTAATAAATCGGTTTAAAAGGAATTAAATTGGTAATTTTCTAATTGCTCTCTAAGTTAAAAATAATAATGCAATAATTAAAACCCCGTCCGCCACACCTACGGTCAATAATTACAGTTCGTAAGTTGTAACTCTAATACATGAATCACGAACGCATAATGTTTATGAATAATTGTGAGAGTGTGATTAGGAGAGATCCATCTATAACAGACACATTGATTTATTGCTTTTATTGGAATGAACTGTTTATATGAACGAGAGAATTAGTCATCTCTTAATCTAAACTTTATTGTAATAGTCCGCGATGTAGAACAAAGTTTATAACTAAATTTGTCCAAATTAGTATTTATCTATTGTACTTGATCTGTTGCCACCTAATATATAGATAGATAATGCCAGTTTGGAGATATGTCATCGTACGATAATTACTTAATTTCGTGTGTAACTGAGCCCGAGATAATACCTCTCTAATGTGTTCACACGTTTTCTTCGCTTTGTCTCGTAAACAAAAGAATGTGCCATATATTTTCTAAAATTATTTCATTACAAAGATTATAACACAGCATTACAGCAACAATTCTAAACAATACTAAATGTAATAATTTAAAGGGTTTCACTTTTGAGTTGCGTTTTTAACTACTAATTGGATACTGCAAACTTAGAAGTCCTTTGACGTCAATGATGTCTAAGCAGTATACCACGTTATCCGGAACATTATTGAGCTCGACATCGGTAGAATTCGTTAGTGTTGGTAGCACAAGGTTGATGGGTACGATTTGGCCCTTCAACATTTTCACATGAAATGGTACAAAGATAAAAAGCGAAGAGTTGAACGTTTTCAATGTGGCATTTCAGGGCACCAGTAAATTCAAATACCTTGGGTGTACTATAACGGATAGGAATACACTTCTTCTATGTTCTTACATCCAATTTGTACCAAAATCGGGATCTACAAAACAGTTAGAAGACCCATCTTGTAACATGGGTGCGAGACTTGAACGTTGACGATCAAAGTTATTGGTAGCCGAAAGGAAAATATGGAGGAAAATTATTGAACCAATCCCTCCAGGGTTGAGTAGTCAGACCAACCGAACATCAGTGGTTAAGCCAAAGCCAAAAGATTTCGCTGGACTGGCCACTTAGAGAGACTACCAATGGGCCGTTGGCTCATCGGCTGGCCCAGATCCCGCTGAAAGGACGCCGCGGAGACGGACTTATACGAGCTCCAAGTGGCCGATTGGCAAACAGCAGCGCAAGATCGTTGAAAGTGGCGTTGTCTTGTGTCAGAGGCTAAGACTTAGGACATTGGGTCGTTGCGCCAGCGGAATAAAAACATACATTCTCACTTACTTACTTTCCTAAATACTCATACATATTGGTATATATATTTCTTGAGAATAAATTTTAATTTTTACAAACTTCTTTAAGAATACTTTCACATTGTCACTGGCCGGTAGTACCAGTAAGGTTTCCGGCTTGGCCAAGCTGGAGCTAAACAATACGAGGTAAAAAGCGAATAAGTTACCACATTAGAGAGAACAGTGGTTCAACAAAAGCGAAAGTTCATTCATGAGATAATTATGTTTCACTGGATTGCGTCACATGAGTTTTTCCTTGGCCGATGAACTTGCAAGAAGAACTTGGAAAAGATTTTTTTATCGCCATATTGTCTTGTCTTTTGTAGGAAGTAAACCGATCGGGTTTACTTCCTACTAAGCCGTCGGGTTGGTGAAAAGTGCCCTCGTAAATATTATAATACATTGATTGTACTTAGTGATTATTCAATATTCAATGTTTAGACAAATTTGAGATAATACTTTCACTATCAAAAAAAATTGGCTAAATGAAATCTGGAATTTATTTCAAAATTAAATCAATATTGTGAAATTTGTTGAACCTGACTATATTTTACATTGTACAAAAGATAAATATATTTATTATTATCTAAACACAATGCTAATGATAATTTATTGTGAGTGCCAAAAATCTTTAATCCCGTTTATCAAACTAAACTTTGTCCATAAAGACAATGATAATTAATATGTTAAATCCATTAATAAAAAACATTCAAATATTATTCGGGTGTTGCCAACGCAGTTCCATAATTTATCTTTATAGTAGAAATATAATCACATAAAGGCAAGCCGCTTTCGTAGCATACCGTATCATACATAAATCGCCTTATATTCTATTTCTTTATTTAATCATTTTTAATAAACTTTATAGCTGCTGAATGCTTTATCAAATTCGATAATACTTTTGCAAGCGAAACAAAATAAGTAAGATAACATTATTTCTTATTTAAAATTCAGTTCTCGACAATATAATACAAAACATCAGTTTAGACTACAATTCCTAAAGAGCCTTGCTATTGAAAATCTTATATCCTCATACGCTACATATCGGTATCGTAAAAACAGTACATGTACACGGTATATGATGTGATAAGCGCATGCAAATCGTTAATAATATTCAAACATATTATCTAAGCCATAAATGGATAACAAATGGAAGGAGGCTTATCTATACTTGAACCGTATTGAAAGAAATAAAATATCAAATGTAATGGTCACTTGCGGTATCTTTGATAAAGGCGATATTATTTTATGAAACCATCAGAATTTGATCGTTGCTAATCTCGTTACCTTTAGACTGAATATTAATTAAATTATTAATCTATAATTTACGAGTAGTGATTAGAGATTAAGCTAAATATTGTTTGCCTAAGCTTTCGAAAGAAATATCAAAACCAACCTTAATACTAAGGGCACTTTAAGGTTAGGACCGGAAATCATATAACTTTGTTTTATTAGTACGATGATAAGGATTAAAAGAGTTTAGCAGCTATATTTTGATGATAAAGCAAAACGATTAATCTATCTTTTGTCCGATTACAACAATCGATTAATATCGAATTTATATAATGATAACAAAAGCGCCTAATACCATTAGGTGATCACGATAGCACGTTAATTAATTGAAAACAGATGGTACCTTGTTAGTCGATTCAATCGAATTAATTGGTATCAATATAATCGACCAAATACAATAACCTCCTGGAGTCTCCTTTCTGTCGTGATTACCTATTGTTCCTAACTGTACAAAGAAAGCTAAGTTTTAAACAATAATAGGTAATTTAAACTAAAAAACACTTCTGGTCTATCTATTATAACAAGAGATCGTCATTTGCAACCGCAGCGTGAAAATGTAAATGATGAAGGCTCGCTTTCAATTCGTTATTTATTTAACTCTTGACAGAATCTCAGCCGGTAAGTCGTGGTGAGACTAGTTACTGTGAAAATTATTGTTACTTGACTGTTATCTGAACGAGAGGGCGAGGTAATAAAATATAATTATTTGTTGGAAACCAATTTGTTGGTTTGATTTGTTACAAGTTAGCAATGAAATAACTGGAGTACCAGGTGTATTTCATAAATACGCTGAGATATTCCTTTCGATTAAGTTCGTAGTATCGCAACCATGAAACATTCGTAACTTTTTTAAGTGAAAAATTATAAATTCCAAACGTGTCTGATATTAATTAACATTTAAAACAAGTAAATTGCTCTTTAATTATCTCTATTTTCCTGCTTAGCGCCTCTGCCATTCGGTTGATCACGTGTATTGCTCGCGGAGGTTTTAAATTTTGATGACAAATACGCCTAAAATAAATAATTAAACATTTATTCTCTTCAGTAATAAAGGTCTGTTCGAGGTAAATTCTGTTCTAAAGGACGCATATAACAAGGACCAATAAGTAACGGAACTGAAGACCGGAAACACTCCATCATATGCGTCATTAGTCAAATTGCGATAAACCGTAAAAACTACAATCAGACCGGTGCAAATTTGAAAAAGCCCACATTTTGTTACCTGACAAAAGAATCATCAACAAAACATCAATGGCCAAGAGTCTCGACATTTGGTTAAAAAAAACTACCTATAACTAATGCTCGAAAATGGTTTCACTAATGCGATGTAATTTGATGAGAATGAGAATGTTTTCGTAGTTTTTTATTAGTGATTATCAATACGTCAACGATAGAATAATGATAATATTAGTTGCTTTATGAACACACTACTAACTACATTTATTAAATTTACTCGGCAAAAAGTAATAAATAAAGTAATAACAAGAATTATGACCAGCGCTTCCATATTTTTTACATTTAAAGGTTTTAATTTATGAAAGTCCACCAGATTGGTTAAAGTTGCTTGCTTATCAGCAAAGGTATCCCATGTTAAAGTTTCGGTGTAAGACTATTCGGAATCATTTTACTATAGAATATCAGTATTGAGTATCATGGGAATAGAAAAGTCACAAGTTGACCGTGACGGCTTAAATTACGATCAGTTTGATATCAATTGTCAAATACCTATCGCTGTATGAGCATTCGTGCGTTAACATGAGAACATGATGAAGGAATGTTAGTTTTTGCGGCTTTAATTGATTAGGTAGCAGGTACGTGAATGTCGACAAGTAGATCAACTATTCTTTTAAAACTAGACAATCTTCACGCATAAAATATATAGTATGATATTGAACTTAATATACGTGACTGATCAATGATTTATGTAGATTTGTTCAATCTATAAATACCTACTACGAACACATGAAGTTCAATTGTGCTCCGTTCTCACAGTCGACTTCTGGTCGTTAACCTACAACTTCATTGATGATGCCACACTATTTTCACTTTCTTAATAAAGTAGGCAAATCAAATGCAGAACGAGATTAAATATTCGTATTGATTATGCAAATTTTTTTGAAAACGACAGGACGTCCGCTGCGAGCTGACGAAATTCTGGTTCCCAGACACTATGGAGGAAACGCGATCGAGCATCACGTTAGGCAAGCTTTATCAATGTTATCGGAAACAACATAATGAGATGCAATTTCATTCATATATTTAAATTCTTCACATCTAAATTAGCTAGAATTAGCTCTCAATATTTATATCACAAGTGTGACTCATAAAATTCAAATGGTACATTAATAGTCCTAGTCCTAAATTATTATCGTTACACATTATCTTTTGTTATGTAAGTATGATTTGTATTTCTGATATTGATGTAAAGTAATTCAAATAGGTGATTACTTCGCTACTTAACATCTGCCGCATCGCAAGTATTATTTATAAACGAATGCGTTCACCACACTACTACTTCTTAATCAATCAATGGAACGAGTTTTTCAAATTGTACGACCACTGACGCTGAATTATTTGATCTTAAACATTCACCTTTCATTTTGATCCAGTAATGGAACAAGAATGTTTTGATCGATAGACGGTAATGCTAATAAAAGTTGTCGTGACTGCCGGATGATGGGTAATGGAAATGCTTAGTGATTTGTTGTCGGATATTAAGAGCATAGTTCAAAAGTTAACACTTGTGGATAAGTTAAGGTCGAATGCATTAGCCACCTATTGGGCGGCACTAGGCTTAAACACAACAGAACATTAAGAGACATGTTGTACTGTATAAGGTGCATAAACAATAACAAGTTAAAATTTGAATAATTTATTTATATAGAATAGCACTTAATAAAATGAATCATTAGAATATTAATAATGCAATTAAGGGGCATGACTTTCGACGACATCTCAACACCGGAAGGGAAGCCGTTAATGAATGTGGGACTTTGTCAATTGACGCTCAAACCAAACCAGATAAAAATGTCTATTATATCTTAACGGTTGTTTCTCCAATACAATATTAGCAATGTTTAATTATATAAAATCTCGAGTACGTAGCGGCATATTACGTACGTATTTCTATTTATTTGCTTTGCTCGTATTAAAGACAGTAAATACTTCAACTTTAAACATAAATTTCGTAATTTATTCGATTTCAATCAGATCTGTCTGGTCGATGATGAATAATTATGTTCTGGTATAATTACTTTACCGTAAATATGTCTTATTTAAATTTATTTGTATGTGAACTTAAGATCGGCGGCTAATAGAATAAACACGCTCTGATTAAGTGGGCTGTTAAGGATTTTTTATGAATTAATTAAAAATTAATCAGCGTTATTCTGAACGTTCTTAAAATAAAAAAAATAAATTATATTGAAATTAAGTCCAATCAATGAACTATGCTTTGATATCAGTAAGTATAAATGACAGTGATCTCAATAATAATTTATATGTTTTATTAGATTGAAGATATTTTAATAATTGATTTATATAATATTAGGTTTATTCTAAACAAGTTCTATCCGCAGTGTAACCTCAGTAAGAGCCACCGCAAATGACTCACTCATATTTCACCGCATTGCAACTTGACATTTAATATTTTATTTACTATTCATGTTCATTGTCAAGAATTACCTATTTATTATAAGTTTAGCCAACTTTCAAAAATGATAATTAAGATCAGCCCTGCGATTTTGTAACTCACTTTTCGAACTCACACAGCGGTTTTTGCAGCGACGGTCGCGCTCAAATCATTCGTGAAGCAGTCATTTTATGATTTGACATTCTGATAAGAAGGGAGCTTGTAGTTTATTGTTTATCAGAATGCCTAACTGAATGCCTGACCAGAGCTCTACGGAACTCTGGTATATGTTTAAATTTATGAAGTCCAAATATAAATCTTATACAAACATATATTTTGTAGGCTAGATTGGGAGAGTAGAACAGATTTTTTGAGTGAGATGCATAAATGATCCTTCTGCTTAGTTCATTCATTTGGGACTGCTTTCTTTGATTTTTAATATTGGAAGGTCATCTACATACAGATGAGAATTATTTTAGATGCAGCACGTATACTATTGCATCTAGTACGGACTACCATAAAAACTACTCTTGCAACAAAATACTGCCTACAAACACTCAGAACTCTTAAGACGACGCTAACTCGCTGTAGGCTTACAAGAAAACGCTTTACTGCTTAAGGGTCCTTAAGTCGTGTTAGGTAGGAATTGGCTCAAAAATTCACTTTTCACAAAGCGTCATAAAATGTACTTTAAGAGGCTCTCTGTTGTCTGAGAGCAGACATCGCGCTGATACGTGAACAGAGGGCATCTAATAAATTTATTCAAATTAATTCAGACTAAATGTGGTATGGATTATAATATTATAATTAAAATATAATTTGAATTAAAGGTTAGGGTAAAAACGTTTTAACTTCATTTAAAAATGTAACATTTTGTAATCGACATTATTTAGGTACTTAAGTACAATTACGCGGTCGCGTTAAATTTCGGTTTTCGTAGAGATGTAAGTACATGGTGATAATATTTTAAATCCCTGGTAATAGCAGAAAGTATCTAGAAGGATTGCACACATCTATAGTAGCTGGTAAACCAGCTATGCAGTGGGCTATTATCAAAGTTCTTAGTGCATATTTAACGATGGCAAATATCAATTTTGTAAGTTTATTGTATAGGAGTGATGTATATTCACTTCTTATTTTTATTAAAAGCTTTAATATTATAATTGAAATAAATAAGTATTTAATATGTTTTATTTGATTTTCTAAATTATTGCTGGATAATTGCACAATGTGCGCAATGTTAAACTTAAAGGCGCATTTTTTTCAAGTTTTAGTATAAAGTAATTAATATCGAGACGAATGACATTTTTACGTTTCCTGTGATACTTGTTTTATCTATTTAAGTGATCGTCATATAAAATACAGTATCTTTATTAAAAAAAGCTGAAAGTTGGGTGAGTTTAATTTAATTGAATGGACCATTGTCATTAGCATCAGAGCAAGTTAAATTATCAAAAATGATAAGACGATTTAAATAAACCGATTTATTTGCTTTACATCTTTATCTCGAGTGAACAGTTATTAATTGTTACTATTAGAGTTATCTTATGACTTCTTCAGTGTAATTTTTTCTTTATATACTAACATAGGTTCACTGTGTCGTAATAGAATAAATAAAGTAATAAAAAAAATCAACTCTGACTGTGAAATGGCGATAAATTGTCATATTTGCTCCTTCATCACATTATTAAGTGACACGAGAGTGATAAGGGCAAAAATTAACAACATATCTGCTTCTACGGGTGAACATTTCTTTTTAAGATATTATGATGGCTTAAAATTATTGTTGATTTAGCTTTTGCTTATAAAAAAAGGCAACACAACCCGGCCTTACCTAAACAAATTGCGTTTGCGTATTACCCCTGTCAGTGTTTATAAAATTTGTTGCACCTCATTAAAATCCCATCGAATATTCCTGACTACTAAAATCAGTAGCTTAATCGTTCATTAATTTGTTAAACGTGAGAGCAAACGAACCGCTCGCATCGATTTATTACTTTTTTTCTCAGCTCGGTTATTTTATGCCTTATTTTTATAAAATACTATTTCATTTCCACCGACATCATTCATTTTGTTGATAAAACACATGATTGTGGTCTAATCATTTTAAACGTTTTTTACAACGTTTCTTTACCTAATCGTGAAGTGGCTGGACACCACAGATTAATAGAAAATACCTTTTTTTGCGTCATTATAGCATGGCATTATAGGAATCTATGGAGCCAAGTGACCTGTTGAATATACGATATACTTCACAGGAGTGAGTAAATCTTATAGAAAATATTACTTTTGCATGAATAATTATATAAAAGCAATATCCATAAAATATTTATATTGCATATAAATCGTACGATGATTTTAATTGCAACGATAAGAGATTCACATATCCTTTAAATCATGAAAATTAAATATGACTTCAGCCTCAGGTACTTTTGAAGTAGTCTAGCAGATTTGCTTATTAATAAGTGCGGCAAAGAATTTGTATCGGCTAACGGTAAAGCCCGGAATGCTAATTCGTTTCTTAGCTGGCAATACTCATTTATCTCTTAAACACAGGTAACTAGTGCATGGTTTAATTCGATAGATTATCTTTATGTGCCCTCTTAATTATTACTGTCTCGATATGAATTAAAATTGATTGCAAGTGATTTATTCGACGAGAAAATTAAGGTGCTTCAAAGAGCGCTCCTGTGAATATAATGAACGAGTCGACTTTTAATATGCAGCACTTTTACTAGAAGCTCAACCTATATTTTTTATTAAAAGCTTCCCAGTTAGCAATTCCGGTTTGAAAGTCCAGGTTTTTAAGTAAGTACCTGTATTTAATATCGACTAAATAAAAGTATTTGTATTTGTTATGACAACGCGTAGATACTCGTTTCATTTTCATAGCTAATACAGAAATATGGCTTTCTTACTTCTGCATCACTGGCTAGAACTTAAGTAACAACGCCACCGATACAACATCGAAAACCAGTAATGTATGTAAAACCGGATAATACAATCGTGTCGTACAGCATAATTGATCAGACATGGTGGATAAATTAAGTCTTTTTATGCCCCATCTCAACGAGATTGGAACATGTTTTTGTATTTACTCTCAATGTAATAAAACTCCTAATTGAATTCCATGGATATCTCGTGGTACCTTTTGGTCGTTATGCAATTTGTTAAATTCATTTAATGTTTTAATTTATCGAAATAACGAGCCTTATCTACTGTAGTACTCGCTTCGTTACAGTGTACGTCTAATATTTTCTAGTATATACGGAAACGTGTAAACTTACAATGGATTAACATTTCATTGTTTTCAAGGAAGCCGTAAGATGAAATTGTAAGAAAAAAGCAGACGAGAAAATGAAATGCTAGCTTAGAAGGCTAACTCCCGCTTACCGAATTGCCTCTGTGTATCGCGAATTCTTTAACCCTGTTATTTAGACCAATTATTACGTCAGAAAAGCATTTAAGTAAAAAAGCGATAGAATGCGCCAAGTCCTTGATTAAAAATGTGACAGGTTGATTGTGGAAGTTTTCGTCTGCCGCCCGGTCGAGTACTTTTTGCACGCCCTATCGTGTGGTACCATGCTCATAATATAGTAGCAAACATTTTCACACTACTTTCGTAATATTAGTACATTATTCAAAGTAAATGTAGTAACATTTTAATTATTAATGTATTCACAGCAATTTGTCTTTAACGAAACATACAGAAAAACCAGTAATTCATATTTATATTATAGTGTACATAAGATAGGGATAAGGGAAGATATAATATAATATATATATAAGGAGTACCAAGCGTCGCCTTCAAAGCGTGCTTTTTGATTATTACAATGTTAACATAATGTTTGTCACTTTTACAAATAAATGTCTTCTTAAATCAAGAAATGTTTGAAATAATTATAAGATTAATTTATCTTAAGAATTGAAAGGTCTTAACGAAGGTACAGGACGGGGGCCAAGAGGCACCATTTGGCACATAACGTAATTTTATAGTTTTTGGTTGATATAGGTGATAAAATCACAATTTAAAGCTTAATTCTAACCGTGAAGGAATGTGTGGTAGAAATCACCTTTGAAAAGTGAGGCATCAATAATAAATATGGAAGCACTTTTTTTTAAATAGTATTCGAACGACACCATGGACTTGTGATGTCGCATAGACAAGATCATATTATTGCTCCTGTTTAACCGTTTAACCAGTCGCAGACAAAAGTTCTGTTCGCTTTTAACTGTAAGTTAATTAAAATAGAAATGCGTCTGTTTACTGAACTAAAGTATTGTGGGCTGTTACCATTGAGAATCACAATCACAACTAATTACATGTGCACTACCGTATCAATTTCATGGTAACAGGTGAATTGTTAATTAATTGAATAACAAACAAGTGTAATTTCACGCCTTTTGCGTGCAATATTGAGCGTGACGTCACGCTTCGGTATACCACGTGCAGTACTGGAGGGGGAGTGGCAGAGCATGACCATTAAGTGAATTACAAATTACCATCTGTAATACCATCTCAAAGTTCCATCTGGAACAAAATTAGAACTCGAACAGTCTTATAGCTCATCAAGTGCCCAAGGTTGATAATTCGTGTTATATACAAATTCTGTTATTACCAGTTAGAGAAGCCAGCTGTAAATTTGTTTGTTTATAAATGTCTCATACCGACACTTTTTAGTTCAAGGTTCCGTTGTTATGGGATGAAAATAGAAACCTCTCATTAAACAGTTTCCGGGTTGATATTTGCAATCTATTATTTTGTACACTCACATCGCAAAGGCTGTCAATTGGATCACAATCAACCGGTGGGCCGAAGATAAAATGAGATGCAATTTCGATCATGACTGTACGACTCCGGGCCGCGAAGCCTTCGAGACTTTTGTGGCACAAGTGATAGGTAAATGAAACTATGCTCTTCGCGTATCAGGAATATTTTAAATAGTAATAATGAAGGATTATTTTTATTATAATTATTATATCTTTCTTAGATTACTATGCGAATTTCATAATATTTTCTAATTCATTTATATATATACATAGTTTCATATTTATTTTTTTAATTGGTTTAGACTGAAAATACGTAGCTTAAATAATGGAAAGTCATAATAATTCGCATTCGGGACATTAAGGGGCAGCAGAACGCTCACCTACCACTTGCACCATACAGTACACGGAGCGTAGCGCGTAATGTCGTATTATTATTGCGTACCTGCGGCCTTCACGACTCGCTTGAATTACTCTCTTGTTGGGCAGTGGGCACGTGCTCTCTCCGCAGACAAATTGATGTTTTCTAAACATCAAATTTATAAAATATATTACATGAATAGTAAAAACAAACATCCTAAACCGGGAACATTTTCTCGAAGACAATCGATGTCTTCAGGAGCAGGCTAGCAATTCTTAAAAACCTACATCTCCCTAAGCTCATATTTGTCAAGGCCACAGCGTTTAACTATTATAACCGGTATAACCATATACAAACATATTATCTTTAAGTGTATCACTTAGTTTAGTTAGTACTTTATAATCTTTATTATTTTAAATATTACCGACATAAAAAACCTATGTAAGTAATCCACATTAGTTTACGGTCAATAGAAGTAACAAGTGTTCGACGTTCTTAAAAATATGCGCGTGCGCCGAGCAATTTGGTGGAAGTGCGGCAAATAATCGCCCCCGGCCGCAATCATGCCGGCACCGTTTTCATTGTCACGCGAAAATTATACCACGCTAAATTGCTTCACCTTCATATTTTCAATAGAACAACTATTGTGTAAAAGTAATAAATAAAAAAATTAAAGAAGAAAGGCGATCGTACTCAATCTTAATTTATTACAAACAATCGAGTTAAGGGAGGTATGAACCTATCATGAACAAAACTTACTGCCACTTGAGACTGTATTTTTGCTGATATTGACAATCGACAACGATTGACAACAATAATTTTACAGTTTGACAGATTCGCAGATAAATATCGTCAACTGTTTTAATTCTAACACCCAATTGGAATTACCTTGCCTTTCGTATTAAGAGTAAAGAGAGTCGTGCCACGTCGTATATTGGAAACGAGCAAAGCCTTCTCCGCATGCAGGGATGTCAGTAATGTTCGCCTGCGGCTCAGACGTTCATTTGGGCTTCTGTTTAAGAACGCAATCATTAAATTATAATACGCTTTTTTTTCATGTTGGATATAATACACGAAAATTTAGTACTACGCAATTGCTTCTAAGCGATTGAACCCTTTTGGAATAATTTTAAAAAATTATAAATGTATCTTTGTTATAGAGGCTTAAAAAAGTAAAAAAAGCTTGGGATATATGAACTTTCTTGGTTTATTTTGAAGCGCTCACGACGTCAATTAAATTTGATTGAGACAATTTGGGAGATCGATTAAAAGTCGATATTGAATCGATAGTTGGGTCACGTTGCATAATATGGAAGTGAATGTTTTATTAATGTTACAATTATTTCCTTCTTGTAAGAATTTAATTCAAATGTATGAGTAGTTAATTGTCTTATGCTTTTTGATACTCTAACTCAGGTTTAACATATTATGGTGAGATGTTTAAAAAATTTGGAACTAGTGTTGAACAACAAAATCATTCATCACGAACACAAGCAGTTGAAATCTCAACACGGGTGTTAAAATTATGCAAATGTAATTTTTATTACCTTTTAACATACTTAGGAGACATTATTGATGAGCTTTTTTTTAAAAAACGACAAAACCATATTTATTGAGGTGTCCTGAATGTGATATTTATTGCACGTTTAGAACAAATTCCCACGATGACTATGATTTCTTTAGCTTAGAATAAAAATAAGTTTTTTTTTCTTTTTTACGTTCATTGCAAAATTTGAATTTATCGCAGATAACACTAACTTATATCTTCACCACATGCCTAATAGGCACAGATTGTGCTCAAAACTTACAATGTAGAATAAAAAATGTAGATGTGGATTGTGGACGTAGAAATGTTAAGGATAAAATCTATGTTACTTAAAAGATTCATCGTAATAAACATTATTGTTGTTTATGGATTTCAATTCAATAATAATTTTTAACAAATGTAAACAATATTCCGGGATAAAAGATCACGCCAGTTACTGAGAAATAAAGCCTATTAAATAAACCTTGAAAATGTTAACAAATTATCTTTATTGAAACCTTTTAATCTGTGGTTAGATAAGAAACTAAATGCAATTTATATCTATGATTTCTAGCTATTTTATGTACATTGCTGTGCCATTTCCGATAACGCACTATTTTAAATTTTATAGTTATGTTAATCCTGTCCATACGTGAACAAGATATTAGATTATATTCATCGCAATCTGTAATCATATTTATTTTGTCAGATATTGAACTAATAAAGATTCTCCTTCTAATAATGATATTATCAGTTGTTGCATGTTTAGTCGCCAAAGCATTTTGCGTATCAGTCAAATCAGGCTAATTATAGTAAGGGAATTGAAAATCATTGAATAAATGTTATTATTTTATTTTAATTTTGGACACCAGAACCAAAATTGGAAAGTAATTAGAGATAAATTTGTTTTATCTTTGTTTCAGATTCGTCATAGGTTTGGCCTTTACGACGAAGTGTGCACCTCGGGGGGAGTTCAGGTCCGACATTGCAATTGGGTTCGATTCTTACGGGTCTCCGAAAATTATGGACCTCAGGTTAGTACTACTTTATTAATGGTATTTCTCGACATTTCATATAATATAATCTCTGAATTATAATAAAAACAAAACACAATAAGCGTTAACGCATGTTTTAACCCCTCACAGTAATTGTATTTCTCTCAGAAGCACCTTTATATCAAAGCATAAACTCAGACCATGTTTCTTGTTGACAGTAAAAATATAGCTTCCGAGAGCCGTCTATCAGTATTATTGTTCTCAGGTGAACCTCGTGTGCACAAAGGTGAAAGGTGAACCTGTCTACGAGGCAGTGAAGCCGGTATCTCCTCATACGGAACTAGTGGTCTACTACTTGCCCGAAAGACCAGAAGAACTTTTCTTTGTCAGAATGAGAAATAATTTGTATCGACAGACGATGGATTCAATTTTAGAAGGTACGTCGAATGTAACAAGTTAAGTTGTATCTACTTAATACATATACATATATAAACATAATTGACTACGTAGTATTTTTTTTATTTTTTTTCTAGTGAAGGCCATTCAAGTAATATTAACATGTCATGAAAAAGCAAAGCAATTATTCACAATACCTTAACGACCAACATCAATTCTGTCCGTTAATTAGTAAATAAAGCTCGTAAATCAATAAACTTTTACTTTATTAGACTAACTACAGCCATACGCACCAGTTCAAATTGTTTAAAAAGTAACATCGCTCTCGATATTCTCTACCAAGATGTATCAAACTGGATCTAAAATTGTACTCATTTATTTTATAGAAAAATAAATCAAAATATTAATTTAAATAATAAATTTAAAATAGGGAAAGTAAATAAACCAAAAATGTCCTTTTGTGATTCAGTAAAACGGTTGATTCCATCTTCCGAGTCAGTGTATAAAAGTAATGTCTAGCACCTCAATGCGTTCTATAAGTGGTTTACTCTGTATTAACAGGTGGTTGTTATGTTAGAATGTAGAGAAAGTAGAGTACATAAAACGTTTACGATCGACATAGTAATTGGAAGGTATGGGCGATGCGTGAAAATGGTGGAAATTATACCTTTCATATTGGGTTACAATTGGCTATTAATGAATTAAGTGATTGGACTATAAAAATACCGTTTTTCTCATTTGCAATAATTTAAAGAATTTACTAGAAGCCCTTCTCGTCATACAGATAACAGACTTCATAAAGTATAATCTATGCGACTTCTACATAATGCAATATGATTGGTTTTATGAAAGGAGCACAATTCATTAAAAAGTAACGTAACTAAGGTTTTATTAAATATTTAAATTAAATAAGTATTACCCAAAAAAGACACTTAATATAAATAAAATCACGCCCTTTTGCATATAAATGAGAGTAAAACGTGTTTATAAATTGCGTATAAATAAGGTGTCAATTAATAACATATCAACCTTCACATTTAACACATTACAAAATATTAACATTCCTCAATCTATGGATCTTGTTCCGTTTAAAAATATTTTTCTTTAGGGCATCGAAGCATTAAGCCAATTGTTCAGAAGGTCTTACCCTATCCTATCAGTTGAATCATAATATATGTTAAGTACAGAATATTTGCTAAAAGTCGCCAGAATGTTTCGTCCCTTCGGTTTACTTCGCGTCGGCAGCTCAAAGGGTTGCTAAGTGGATGTATTCACACGATAGTACGAGTGTCTAGATTGAGACTGCGGCGTGTACACGCGACAGATAACGGGTAGCATTCTGCGGGATGAGCCTTGAATAGCCGACGGAATTATATCAAATTAATAGTGAATTTATTGAAGGAAGATCTCATTGAAATCTTCCGCGTTAGGTTAGTGTTTTCAATCAAGTATGCCTTATAACTGCATGATGCACCAGCTTCATTTAATACCTAAATGTACACGGATTGTTCGCTACCGATGAGCAATAATAAGTGATAAAATTAATATTGTTCCAAGATACCGAGGGCGGTCTTCCTTATTACATTTTTATCAGTCGGTAGGAGGCGGAACCTCAAAGCCAATGCTCGACATCTCACAGGCCGGTAGTGAGCGTTTCGTGATTGCTTTTTTATCTCCGAAGAACCGATCGATGACACGAAGCTCAATTTATTAGTACCTAATCATTCATAGCAATATAATAAAAAAAATAGTAATAAAATTACTCCTTGTTTCTTAAGTACTTTCATATATCATGTAAGGAAATATTAGTATACATATATTATTCAAAATGTAAAAAGGAAACATTTAATTCCGTTACTTTCAATTGAGGAAACGTAAATTCTCAGAATATTTTAAAATTTGAATGTGATGTAAGTCAAACTGATATTTATGTTCGAATAATTCATAAAATAACAAATCAATAATTTTAAATATAAAGGGCAAAAGGAATTCACTCTAAATTCCTCACTTAAGAGATGAATGAGAATCAGAAACAACTATAAACTTTATATTGGGATCGATAACGAATGCGGCACCGTTTGCATCAAAGGCAGATCCGATCGCTCTCGTATCGATTATTCGAATGCTGCAGCTGTCAACGGAAGCACTATATCGGTACAGAAACATCGCCAAATGATTTAGGTCTTTACAAGGAGATTCCGCCTTTTTTAATTATATAAATACATCGTATGTATAATATTTTAATATTGCTTTTTAGCTCGATTGCAATTTGTTCTAAAGAATGCATACTTATTTAAGGGCTAGACAATAAATCCATCAATTTACAACCTCTTTACGTTGCTCGTGTATTAAGTGAAAATAAATTACGTCGACATTAGTTCAAATCGATTGAAAAGAGCAATATATACTTGGAGATGTATATCTTTGAGTATTTATTGTAATACCATGTATAGCGTTCAACAAATCATGAAAAGGGACAATTCATTACATTTGCTATCTATTTTGAAAGCGAAGATAATTAAAATATTAGTGCTACCGACATTGCTACGATTAATAGTTCAATATCCTATAAATTAAACCATCGAACAGTAATAAATATAAAATAGTTTCCTTTATTAAACGTATCTACAGATTTTCACCAAATGAATTGTTGTTACAAGCAATGATTTGTACTTTAACACCGATAATTTAGAAATATCATTAATATTTTGTAATGCAAGAGATAGCCCAAAATCTTCAGCGAGTTTAATCGAGTTGAATAACTGCTTGCAATAAAATCTCTAGACTCCAATACCCACATATTTACGGTTGTCAATTAAGTGGATCATTAATATTTTCGAGTTGATTGGAGTTGAGTTTTAATGGGATGAATATAATGCTATAATACACCCATTGAGTCATTCGGTTAACACTTTTATGGCAACTGATTATGTTTTATGTAAGCAAGTTGAATCAAACCGTTTATTATAAAATTGTTTTTGATTTTTGAATTGAATCAAAGAAACGATTGTCATTCGTTGGTTTTATGTCTTTTTCAATATGTTTATTCAACAGACGTAATATTTTGATGTATAAATCGAAATAATAAAATGTCTTTTCCTTTCAGATTCACCCTTAGATCTGTCCACATCGCTCCTATCTCGAGTTCTATTGCCCATATCACCGCCATCGGGACCTGAAGATGAGCATAAATCAGTCTCCGGTGACTCAATGGCATCATCCTCGGCGGGATCATCGAACGAATTGTTGGACATGACTCCAAAAATTCAAAGAAGGCCAATGAAATCAGAAAGAGCTTTATTGCCGTGCGAAGTCTGTGGAAAAGCTTTTGACAGACCCTCCTTGTTAAAAAGGCATATGAGAACGCATACCGGTTAGTGCTTATCAAATACAAAAGTTAGTTCTTTATGTTATGTGGCGATTGCTGTCTTAAAATTAAATTAATTTTTAAAAATACGCCTTCACTTTAAGTACGCTCTTTAGTATCTGTATTTTATTACGACATTATGAATTAATAATATATTAATATTTAAGGTGAAAAACCTCACGTGTGCATGGTCTGCAACAAAGGCTTTAGTACATCAAGTAGTTTAAACACCCACCGAAGGATACATTCGGGGGAAAAGCCACACCAATGTCAGCACTGCGGCAAGAGGTTCACAGCCAGCTCCAACCTTTATTACCACAGAATGACGCATATAAAGGTTAGCATTGGGTTCAAGATATTTGAATAATCGTTAAACGTAAAGTTTACCTATTTTGATTTAGATTAGACCTTGTGATATGAAAACAATTTTCCACTGTAAAAGATATAATTGACCTAATGATGACAGGCGGTTTAAGCATGAATTTTTCTCATCAGCCTTCACGTCTACGCTAAAAGTATAAAAGTAGGTATATTACATCTTATCACGGAAACAGTAATTTTATAACATTTAATAAAAACTTGCTATCCTTGTGAAGACAATGGAAGCTATTACAGTTTTTCTGTTAATATCGCATCCTTTTGCGTTATTGTTAATTGAATTTTTTTCGCAATGTGCATTGTTAAATCAGTAATAAATGCATAAGTGATGTTATGAATGTTTGAACAATAAATATTGAAGTGTTATTTATGTAAAGTGGTGTATTGTTACAGATGTAATTGCATTTAACACGGAAAATTGTCACACGTTGCATAACCGACGTTGACAATTTTATCAGCATTTCATCATTTATTACATAATTACAATCTTAAGCTGGCTATATATATATATATATAGGAAATAACTCTATTGCACAATATATAAAAATATATGTGGAAAATTTTCAAATGAAAATTTTAATTAGGTTCTCAGAGTCTTTGTTTAATACGTAATTTTAATTATAACAAAATAAAGTATATTACAGATATTGCCCGTGAAGTTACCGTGCTCACTTCCCATAACGCCCCTTAAGTTTTTACTTTAACTATGACCTCATGTGTCCACGACTTAAGAAAATCACACAACCGTCACGCTTAATAATTTTAGGGTTGCTTCGCTTCTCTTATTATTCTATACGCCACTTTTAATCATTAATGGTCGAACGTTCTTCGGAACTAAACGGGGATAAACACGTCAACGTAGATTTCATTTTAATATACAGACAAACCAAAATCAGATAATATATCTTCGTTTACATGGTCGCGTCTTGTATCAATTTCATAAAATTGTTTGCAGCGGTTTGTTTGAAATTAATGAGACTATCAAATAATATTGATAATAAAAAAGTTGTAGCAGCCCTAATGTCTTAAGGTGCACCTGCGGTAAGGTAAGGGCTAATAAATTACCAGGTCAGGTCAATCGTGGGAAGCTCAGTGGGCAGGCAGTGTGACGATACAGCTATTGAACAATCGAGTCCTTTTTATCAACTCGACCTGATTGAGATTCAATATCTTCTGTTGTTCTTTATTTAAAGCAAAGCATTCAATTGTTTATTTTGCCTTCAAATAAATGCTACTGTTTTTAATGTAATTTTGAAAGTAATTTGAGATTTGTTGATTAAAAAGCTTTTACTACTATTCTTTTATAAAAGATTTAGTTTACGAGAATCTAGAAATACTTGATAATCAAAACATTTTGTTTCTTTCCACTAAATGTGTTATAAACAATGCTTTATCCAAATTTTTAATTTGACTGTAGTGAACTAACAAATTCTAAAGTACTAAACAGCCAAAACCATATTCCCACGAAAGCTAGGAACCGTATCGTACAAGACGATACCAAGACGTCGAGCGCAGCGAACCGTATCTTTTCACACGGTCGACGATCGTATGTGAACTGAAGATGACCACTGTATGACTTCCATATTGTGACTGCAGGCCAACCATTATTAAATCTGAAATAAAGAATGTAATGTTAATCCAAGCAACGTGCGTACGTAACATAAGTCACTTGCTTCAGAGCTCTTACAAAAGTATAGATTAGGTAGTTCACAACTTAATAAATCTCTGTCCATAATAAGCTGCTCGATAAAGCCGATGGATCAAACTTAGAAGGATCTTTCAACTGTCTGTCAACAGTGGTACTGCCCTCTGTTGTCCATTGAGTGGTCTCATAATAAAGCATTGCACAATAGACTGGATAAAGTTGAAGCACAATACACGCCTCTGATTTATTAAGGAGCGAAAGCCCTTATTCACTGGTTGTAAGGAGCTGAATTTATGGTGAAAATGTATGGCGTAATGTATCATTTTAAGATCAATATAAGGAAAGTATGGGGAACCTATATCAAGTAATCATAATAATAAATTTATTTACTCTAAAATTTACAATTGATTATTTATATTTCATTATTTATGATTAAGTAGTACTACAAACTGACTTAAATTAGGTTAAAAGTGTTAATAATTATGATAAGATCCCATCTTCGTTAAGTGCCTACCGGTTTTCTTAAAATATTCCCTGTTTTTGGTTTGGTGCTGCTTTCTGCCGGCCACATCCACGAGATCATCCGCCTACTTTTCCTGTGGTCAATTTTTTTTTTCCAAACTGGGGCCCGTTCCAGCGTGTCATTTGTTGAATCCATCGTTGGCCTGTGATTCTGTCGAAGTGACCTGCCCACCTGTATTTAGTCCGTCAGTCTTTCTTGTCTTGTGTCTAATACTTTTCTTACTTGTTTAAGACTTCTCTCTCTCTCCCTCTGCGTTATCTTAATTCTACCTTTAACTTTGTTGGTGTTAAAAGCGTGGTGTCGAGCATCAATTTCTTTTGTTTTAAATAATAGTCGCCTTAAAGAATTTCTTTTAAAGACCAACAATTATTTTTCCAGGTTCTAGGTTCTTCGATTAGTCAATCGATGTATCTTCTTGATTGTTTGATTTCCTAAAGGACACTTGTTGACCCAGGTGAATCAAGTGTTACGATTACCATTTTCGTAAAATTAACGACTTCACTGCACACGATTCTTGGTTTTCGAGACAGAAACGAAATTAAATATAATCCACAAGCCTATTGTTATCTGGTGTTTGCATACAACCTTAACTTATCGTGACGGACGCAAGTTGACACGTCCCTCTCGTTAGGGTTTCATTTGTTTGGCTTCCCATCACTCTGGTCAGCGCTCGACCACGATCAGCCTCTTTATTGACAAGTTAACGGGTCTTTGTTGTTGCCCATTGTCGTATTCAAAAGCATTAGAGGGAAACATTGTATTATCCTGCACGACATTTTCAACTAAGCTTTTCCGCCAAGTTGGAGAATTCTGTTAGTTAGACTACGATTGGCCTAAGGAGCCTTTCTTTAGATTTGAATTATAGTAGTAGTAATAAATATATTTATACATATAAACGTAACTTTCAATACCTATATAAGCAATATGTAATGACATTAAGTAGATAACGTAGCAAATTAGCAAATAATATTGAGCATAAAAAATTACCTATAAATAACATAAATTACTCTAGCCCATTAAAACTAGTCCAATCGGTTTCTCAATACATAAAGTAGCTTGTGTTTATTTACAAGTCATTCACAAGGCAATAAAATCAAAAATATATCCAATTTAGAAATGAATGTAATGCCGAGTCAATTCTTAAAGTTTGGAAGCGAAATGTTAACATTGATTCTAAGTTTATATTACACCCAATCAAAGATAACGATGGATTAGAACATTTATTATAGTGTAAGAGCGCTTCGACTTTTACGCTTGCCGTTGTGGTCGCATTTGTTCTAAACAATTATATTTTCATTATTAATAATATTCTTCGACTACTTATATTTTTGGGCTTTGCGTGCGTGTGTATAAGCATAACGTACGCTTGCAATTAAATTATAATTAAGTAATTATTTCCGAAAAGATATTACCATCGTTACTACTTTTAATAACATATGTATAAAAATAAAGTATAAATAAAAAAAAAAATGAGTTGGAAATATATTTATATGTATAGGGCAAAATAACCACTTCTTCTAATTTATAAGTCATCTCTTTGAGCGACATGTCAAACTCTAAACTAATTACAGTTTAACAAGAATCTCGAAAGTTTACTCGACCAATCAATTTTAATTGACTTCCGGCTAAAGATATGTCCACTTCATTTGCTCAATTTCGGCGGAAATCTATTCATTTCACCGAACATTGATGTTCTTAAATAAAAGTCGATCATTATAACCCGTTAACGCTAATGAGATTCCTTAAAGCTAGCTCACTCGCTCACTCTGCTTGTTCTGCGACACAATTTTTCTTGGCCACACCATACTACATACTTACGAGAAACTTCAACCGCTCCTTGTCAGTGAACAATTGGCTGCATTTAAACAACCGTATTTTGAAAAACCTTTTTATGTTTAATTTCGAAACTGTGAAGGACGCGTACAACTAATAAAGCTACTTCTGTAAGTCTCCCAAAACGCAAATATTCGTAACAATACAGGATTTATCATCGCCTTCGAAGTAGAGTTGTTTACGGTTGAATGGAAAATGTTGAATTCGATTTATGAAACATGCACTTGCGCATGATTTGCTGTTTCCAGCTCAGAAATTCAATATTTCGCTGCCTACTATATAAATTGGGGATAATAATGTAATTGTTATTATTAGGTTTATTATTTTTTTATAACGGGATCATTCTTTAATCGATGCGACTTATTTTTTTTACTAACATTTTTAAGGCCCCGAAGTTCTAACGATTCAGTAGGTATATCTGGGAATCGCATAAAGTAGTGGTACGCGGTGGCAAGAAATGTCTTTAAAAGCGCTCTATCGTGGGACGCCACACGCCTGACGCCAAGGTGGAATTTTGCATTCTGTCTTGACGTCCGATACTGAAATCTAGCCGCGGGTATTATTCTGAACAACTCCTCAGAACACTCTACAAAGTAAATGCGGTAAAAGCTGCAGAGACATCTTTACGCAACGCCAAGGTTGGGTGGATCAGAGCGACGACCGTTTTTAGGGATCGGGTGTATTGAAACAGACTTTCAGCCTTTCAGCTTTTATGTAATTGTATGAACATTACATAAATTACAGTAGCTTCGAGTGCGAATACCTCTTCTTCGCAGGTTTTGTAACTGTTTGAAATATTTTTCCATGCTACTCTGTTTTTACTCTTACGCATGGTCAATTTATTACTACGTTGTGGTAAATTCCTAAAAATTTAATAATCTAAAGAGTGAAGAATGAGATGGAAGTAAAGTGAGTGAGATAATATAATATCACATACTCCACACTCTCCGGCTGCCATCAATCATGCCGTATTAAGATAAGGATAAGTCCTTACACTGATTATTCAAACGAGCCATCTTAATGAAATGCGGAGAAATATTTTTATTATTCGTAGGGTAAAATTGGAACAACTTCATATTAAAGAATTCATTATAGCTGAGGCCTAATAGTATGTAAACATTTAGTATTTTTTAAGAAAAAAAAACAACTATATATAATAGTCTTATTTTAATATATTTTGCAACGGAACAATATCTGAGTGCCCGAATAATGCTTCACTTTATGGTAATTAATCAAATGTGAGAATAAGATTTTTGTTTTATGTAATTCAAAGTATTTTTTGTATTTAAGAGCTCTACAAAAGGCAAGTGTTGTTATGCACACTGCAATGTTAAGTGTATTTCACATAAATATTACTCAAATTACTCTCATTGATTTTAAGCTAAAATAGTTTTTTTCATAATGTCTTGCAGAATAAAGCAACGTCCCATCTCAGTTAACGAAGATACCTAAATCAAATAGGCTCTGCGAGCACGTTACGGTTAGCGATTTATTTAACTTTGCCACAGAGTAACACCCGTTTTCCCCTTTGTTTATTTACGTTTATTATTTGTACTTATTCAAATTATTATTATTATGATAAACAAGTTGTAGACAAATACCGTATATTATGTTAATAGCTAGGACGAGATTTATTTTTTTGGTATTGTTCACATACCAAACGCCGATGTAGGTATCTTGAAAATATATAATTAAATTTATTTATTTACACTTTTGCATTACAATATAAAAATTTAACACTATTAAATATAAAGGAGGGCAACTGGCGGCCTTATCGCTTTCGAGCGATCTCTTTCAGGCAACCACTGTGAGAAAAAAAATGTATTAAATTAGATGAGGTAGGTAAGAAGTGCAAAAATACATTATATATGGTTATTAAGAAAAACAAAGAAACTAAAGAGTATCAAAAAACAAACTAAACTGATAAAGGATACATGAAAAATAAAAAGTTAAATCACAATAATTTAATTTACGATCAGTCTCACGTCAGTTAGTAGTTAGAACGAAAGTTAAATGAAAATGTTTAAAATTTAACTAATTCAATAGTTATCTACCCAGTAACAATAACTGAATAAGAGTTAGTTATTTATATTTCTACACATACGTAGTTTTATAATAATTAAACTACTCTGTGTTTAAATTAAGCGAAATGGAAGCCATTTGCATTCGATTTCCATAACACGACTCGTATCTTTTTCCCATACGTCACTGTTTGTAGATACGAACGGATCGTGACCGAAGACGCGGTTTAACATATCGCCGATGGAAGTATTGATAAAGGCTTAGACGGTTTTTACTCGGTTTTAGGTAAACATACTTTATTATTTATTTATTTGTTCAGATAAAATAATCCATCATTATGTTAGTATAAACTTACGGACTAGTGTTAGTATATTATTATTAAAAAGCTAAACATAAAAACCCATGAAACATTCTATGCATACACTCGTCGATCCGAACCGACAAGTGTACGCACAAAATGCTTCATGATAGGCGAAGACAGGTTATCTGCCACAGTCTTCAAGATGCTGTTCCGACAGCCTCGTACCCGGCTCAACAGAGATCTTGTTTTAATTCTAATAATAGCCCAGAAGTCATTTTTACGGACTTGGGCGAACATCTCCGAAGCACTGCAGAAACGAGGCAGTCCCAAGAGCATCCTAAACGCATTATTGTATTGAACACGCATGGCAGTTAGCGACCTGACAGTACAGTTGACCCATAGACTACTCGTGTAAAAGTTTTGACAAAACGCCTTGAAAAGGGTGATTTTCACTTGTTTACTACAACGAGCAAATCTACGAGCCAACATATTATGACACACTACGAGCCTCTGGCCGCCACTGCCCTGCGTTCCCGTTCTATATCGATATTATCTTTTAGATTTTCAGATAGCATATGCCCAAGATATTTAAATTCCTTCACTCTCTCGATGCCAAGACTATTTAGAGAAATATTATGAAACATTCCCGAGCATATACCATCTCCGCCAAAGACCATGTATTTACATTGTAAATGAGGCCATGCTTACAAGCGTATACCTCACACACACGCAGCATTTCTGTAATCGCCCCTGCTGTCGGAGCCAGCAGCACCATATCATCAGCATAGCTAAGGTGGTTGATGCTTACTCCATTAACTCTCCTTCACACATGCTGCTTAGTTCTACGATCAGGTCATTAATGTACAGATTAAATAGTTTAGGAGATGACAGACCACCCTTTCTTACACCACTCTCCGGCCTATACGATGTAGAAAAAGCGTTGGACCACTTCACAGTGTTGTTCTGGTTGGCATACCAAAATTTAAATATATTTAACAGTTGAGTTGGCACACCCCTGTCCTCCATCTTCCTCCAAAGCACATCATACGATACAGGATCAAAGGCTCGAGTCAAATCCAAGAAGCAGGCATATACCGGTGTATTGCGCTTCGTATAATACTGGACTTTATGAAGCTCTAATTGCTAGCTCATGGAAGAGATAAGTAAATAAAATTTACAATAATGATTTTATATTATAATTATATAAAAAATATTGTCATTGAGTACCTAAGACAAAGCGACCACTTTAAATGGCTTATTTAGTTATAAAATAAATTATTTGCTAAGTGTTTACTTAAAATTTGTTTCGTAAATTTAAACATATTGATAAAATCACTAGGCAAATATAGAATTGATCAAACTTTTCCCTCCAAAAATGTAATCTTATTTTAAGTTTGTCTCTCTTTTATCTTTTATATTCAATTCCTGTAGAGTCATCACTTTTCATTAAGCGATACTCAGACCTGTTTTTATCCCTGTGTGATTTATCCAACGGAAATTGTCAGACAACTAATGGCTCTTTGTATTGATATATTGCAATATTCGGTAGCGGACCGACACAGGACGATTACTTTTATAAATTATTTAAGCGAAACGGTAACCCCTATTTTCCTTTTTTTATGCTTTAAAAATACATATTATCATAAACGTATACATTTTTAAACATGTCCCAGCCACTGTCTTTATACTGAATCGATAAATAAGTTTCCCAATTAAGCATCTTTCATTTATTTTGTTAATTACATTTTTGTGGGTGTGATTTGGGCGGTGGAGTGAAAATTGAATGGGAGGTGCTAGAAATCTTTGATAGTGTATAACTTGATTACATTTGAAATACACCGGAAATGAATCTGTGACCGTTAATTTCCCCAAACGGTAAAATAATGGCAATATGACACATGGCTACTTGTATTATTATTGTTTTACTGTTATAACCTAAATGGGGTTAAAAGTAATAGATTAGATTCTTATTTACTTCGAATACATCGGTAAATACAGGATCTTTGACGGAAAAGTTAAAAATATTTTAAATTATTAAAATAAACTTTCCAAAAGTCCATTTATATTTACTGGATTTCATTATATGCCTTATGTTTTATGAACGATGAAGACACGCTCAGAAGTATATGATTCCTTTTTTGAGCTTTTGTGTTTCAATTATTATTTGCGCCATGTTTTATCTGTCACTTTGTTATTTTGTAAAGAATGCCAATACCAACGGAAGCATGCTTTATCAACGCTCGCTCCTGTAAAAGCGGTTCATTCAATTTGTACATCACGATGCCCACATTACTGCTTTCGTGTCATCAGTAGGCACAAGGCACGCTTTGTTACGTCTCATTAAAATACTTTAGTTTATGATTTCATGTGTTTATTTCTTAAATGTACTTTTATTATCTTCTTTGACGCCGTGAAGATTAAACCATGGCGTGATTGTCGAAAGTTACGTTTAAATACTTAACTTAAATTAGAATATTTGAGCCTTATATTAATTACTATTAATTTAGCCAGTGTTATCGATTATATATTATTATATTATATATAAATATATTTTGAATATATATTTATTTTAATATTAAACCGTAACAGAGACTAGTGACAACCCTAGACGCCTTTCATTATAAATTCATTTGCACTCGGTGAAGTGCGCCGTCATGACTTTGATTATATTGGAGATGATGATGATTATTAGCCGTTTTATTGTCTTCCAACATTGATTTTGTTTTCTTGTTGTAGTAATTATTGTCTTGGTAGCCGCAAAAGAATGCCGTATACACCTAAACAGTTATTTAAATCGTTACTCGTTCTTTTGGCTGAGGACTATAACCTGCATTTTTATCTTTCACAAATATTTTCGACGATTTTCATTTCATAAACATTCTAGACAACTCTGAGATTATTTGTTAGTAAGGTTTAAATACACTTTTAATTAAAGAGTTTTGTATTTTCTTTACCAGGAAAAGCCACATAAATGCAGTCTTTGCTCCAAGTCCTTTCCTACGCCGGGCGACCTCAAGTCTCATATGTACGTCCACAGCGGGTCCTGGCCGTACAAGTGTCATATCTGTTCCAGAGGTTTCTCCAAACATACAAACCTGAAAAACCACCTTTTCTTGCATACGGGTAAGTCTGTTTGTCTTTCACAAATTTTTTTAGCCCACATTACATAGTTAACTTCAATTTATAATTAATTTTCAATACTGATATATTTTCGATTGTTTAGGTCATATATGTGTATTATATTATATATTTATATTAGTCGCATAAGGAAAATCTTTTAATGCTAAAATGAACAATTTATTGTTGCAGCTAAACATCAAAGGAACACGGCGAAAGATGCTACTTGATGACTTGAACGCTCTTATTAAATTAATTATTAAGAATTGTAAATATATATTTGTATTTGTTTATTCGTATACATTATACCAAGTGTGATATTAGTTTAGTACTATAGTGTAAGTTATAAGTAAGAGTAATTTATTCCTTTCATAAGTAAATATAGCGAACAGATTCAAAATAGGTCTAAGGTGATCTTTTTTAATTGGACTCTTGAATTTCTCATGTTCTGCACCCTGACAGAAGGTCACCCTGTCTGTTGCCTCTTTTTACTAAATTGACAATTATAAGAGTTATATTAAAGTTACGATATCAATTAATGATAATATGAATTATAAGGCTTTGTACATAGTACCTCGAGAGATACATATAATTATGTAACAAAAATGTATAAAATATACTAACACTACGTTTGTATATTGTGATGATTGCGTCCGTCCAAATTATAATGAATTATTAAGTTATATAATATATTTATATTTCTATTATAAGTTACTTTTGAGTAATAAATTTTTTATTTTTCGATTAAGTATTTCATTTACTTTTGAAGGTATACTTCTTTAGGCGCGTTATGAAAAATTGATGAGAGTGAAATTTTACGATGCGCCTACGATGTACCTGAGACACAAAGTTGTCAGTGTGATTATAGCGTGCGCGAGCGAGATGGGAATAAGACAATCTACAAGTAAAAAGAAATAGAATATGCGTGAAGTTAGCAGCTATGCCAAGAATTTTGAATGAACATAATAACATTTACCTTTTAAACAAATAAAGGAGTTTTATTTTTTCAAAGAAATTTAGCAATGCTTTTTCACTTTTTTTTTTGCTTTTTTTCTTTTATTGTTACTTAGTTAAAAGGTTATGAAACATACATAGTTCTTAAATTGAATGAATAATATAATAAAATAACAATTATTATTATTATTAATATTAATTAATAATTGAATAATATACTAAATATTATTAAATTATTAACGTTAAATATTAGTTATTAATTATTTAATATTTAAAAAAAATAGACGGGTTGCACTCCGGGAGTGCCGGCAGAAGTGAAAACTTGAATATTAACGTTGTGCATTTTTGATATTTTGGAATGGTTAGTGACTAATTTTGCACGAATTGCTTTAATTATCAGTATAAAAGTACTATCATCTATGTGGTAGAATACAATATTTATTTATTGCGCTATCGTACACAAACATGGCAGTTTATATTACATTACATACGCCGCGTCAGCTGTCTACTCTCCATCCGTCTTACGAATTTTCGATCAGGTCACGTGTCCTGACGCGAGTTTAACATTTTTTACCCATTCCAAAAAATGTGTACAACGCCGCTAAAGAAGTTTTCACTTCAAAAAATAAAGAAAGCCAAAGAAGTATAACTTCTTACGCGCGTACATAAGTACACGCACCCTTTTTTTTTAATTGAGATAGAAAACCTATTCAAATAAAATAAAAAAAACGCTGATTTAAAGCTGAGGAATTTAGCTTTTTTGTCTCAATAAATATAATTTTCTTGTTCCATTAAAAGCCTAGTAATAAAAAAACAGGGAAGTTTTTTTAAAAAATCGAAGCCCCTTGTAAAAATCTAATACAGTAAAAAATTAAATCGTCACTTAGCACTTGTTCACAATTGAAGGTATCAGAAACTTACGGTGAATTTCCCATATTTTTAGTATACATATTTAGAAGTAACATCATCATATATAATCCAATAGATCCAATTTACTACCTACAAGAAGTGGTCAATCACAATAGAGCCAAATGCTCCGCATAGGGTCAATAAAACCCCGATCGTCTCCAGCGTAGATGAACCAATCGCTGCAATTTATTGCACCGTTTTAAGTATAACCGTCTCGAACTGTAGGCGTGAACACGCAACGCGGCGCCTATTTGCATAAAACAACTTCACTTGAAAGTATTAAGTCTTAATTGTCTTACAGTGGCGTACTAAGACAGCACAAAACGTGCAGTAGGCATTTTTAACAAACGTAAGTATTCGTTGGCAGCTTGCTGTCCAGGGCTGAAGAGCTACCATACCGAGCTAAGAGATGAAGGTTTTTTGATTTACATCCTTTAGTTTTTTCGTTAGATCGGGTGTTAAAATGCGATGAAAAACATAGAAACAGCAAACACATATTTTTTACTGCGATGAGTTTCAAATAAATTCAAAAAAGCTTATTAGTTAATTAATAAGAGTAAAGACCGAGTAAAGCTAATGTTCGATATGCAAACTGTTCCACGTGTGCTGTGGAAAAGAGCTGTGGGACGTTGCAAGGGATGCGATAAATCGACTCTTTTATCCTTTAAGGATGCGCGAATCGGTTCATTGAAATTCACTGGTTGTGTTACGAATCTCGGCAGTCATTTATTAGGTGCTGGAAATTGTTAATTTTAATCGATACGGGAACTTTATTAACGCTAGGTTCTTTTATCGTGGTCAGGACTTAAAAATAAAATTTAAATGATTTTTAGTTGTTGATTAAAATCAAATGTATCATTTCTTTTGGGGAATTCAGTGCCTTATTATAAAACGGCAGGAGTTGTCACTTTAAATAATAATTATTGAATATTAAAAACAGTTCATTGATATATTCAAAAAAATATAGATGTGGTGTTTTAGTTAAAATACTACCATAAGTTTTCCATTTTAAAATTTACATATAGGTATATACAGAATATCTTTCCGTTAGGGTACGTTAAGGTACCGTTCTTTTATAACGTGTGTAATTTATACCTATAAATATATATTTATTTATTTTTTGTTTAAAATGACAATACAATATAGAAGTATTGGTCGAATTTGGTACTGCCCTAAAAATCTTAATGTACAAAACGATCAAAAAGTTTGCATAGTTTGGCTGAGGAACAGTAGTAGACACAATTCATTGAATAGTTTAAAATTAAACGCATTCGCATGAGTTCATAAACCTTTATATCAAAGTAAAAAGCATTCTAATTGTCATTAATTACTGACAAATTTTATTCAGTAATTATCCTAGAAAACATCCAATATTACTACAACATTGTTGCATGGAAGTACTGGAATGCCGTCTATGGAATCATTTTCCAGGATTTCTCTTCCTATGACGCTTGTTATTTAATTACGAATGCAATAAAATAAACTTAAAAAAGTGTTTGAATAAATTCCGTCGTCAACAATTCTCTTTATTACAATAAAAAACTTATGCACTGGTTTCACAATGCAAATCAAACTACGGGTACGTGTGTATGTAAAAGTGTGTTTAGTAGAGACAGTTCCGTAGTGATCAGTAAAGGGTAACTAGGATTAACTACTTACAGCTGGAGAAGTAAAGTAATCGGTAATAAAACAGTAAACTGATAAGGAAATAGTGCAATTTTTTTAAAAGTTGTATTAATACACAAGAGCCTCCAAAGGGAACTCTAAAAATCTGCTACAATTTACCCTTTTTTTGTCGAGTAAGCACAACCCAATTATCTATGATACTTTTAGTAAAGACTGCTTCATAAAAATAAGTCACACCTTCGTTAAGTACGGTGAATATTTCTCGATCATAACTCCTAATACGGTAGCCTGCACGTAAGGCGTAGTACACAAGATGAAAGAAGAAAGAAACGCTTAAAAGATTTATCATCGTTTTGCTTATTGGTTTAAGAACATCTGTCTTAAGTATGTGGTAAGATTTATCATACCAATATTTAACTCTCATTCTCTCATCAACTTTAAATTTGTACGAGACTCTCAACAACATACAGTCAAAGAATTAGTTTACTTTGGTCATAACGCGATCTTCAGCAATAAAGAACACCAACAAACTATCAATTTTTTTTTGCCGAAGGTACTTATTTTATAAACAAACACTTCAAATTTCTAATAAATCAGGCAGGCATAAAAGCTAGATCCAGATTTTATTCTACTCCTAGATTTAGGGAGAGGTGCATACAGTACACATTTTGAGAAAGTGAACTTAACAGATCAGATTAAATTTTTTACAGAAATTATTGGAACATTACATTTTCTATGGATGCACATATTTTTGTCAAATCAATAGGACAAAAATAAGATTGATTTATCTATTTCACATATATATTTTCTGTCTGTCTCGATTGAGAAATTACATATTTTAAGTGTGTAAAATGTAAAATCAATTATAAAAGTAAAATAAAACAAATACATTTTTACATTATTTATTATTTTATAATAGGAAATCCAAAACAGAGTTTTAGCTTGCATTGTAATAAACTTATCAATTTGGACATCCCACTCAGCTAGTTGCCTCAAAGGTAATTGTTAACGAAACCTTTCACCACAACCTGATGATATTAATCAATTATGTTATATCGTTCACATAATGGTGATTAATGTAATTCAAGAATAATCATAAATAATAAACATAGGGCTGGCTACTTTAGCGAATGATGATTCTACAGAGTCCTCTGCACCACATTATTTTCTAGTAATCTGCTTGTAGCATTACTTTCTAAAAGAACGATCTTAGTCTTTCTCTACGACGCAAAACATCAACTATTATTAAATAGTTTTAAAATTTCACTGAACAAATGTATTTTAACTTAAGAACACCCTGTGTATGTTTAATATTTATAGTTCAGCGTCAATCGCGGACATAATAAATGTTTATAGGAACAATTAGATGTGGGCTAGTTGGGTGGTCCGATATAGGCCACTAAATGTACCATTTCTTAAATGGTCTAAGGATAAAAACCTATGATATAATTATAAGGCTATTTTGATGGTTATAAGATGATTTAATTAGTAAGTAAATATTACTAATTGTCACATTCTAAACGTTAAATAAGTTTAAATTGTAATAAAACTAGCAAAAATATTAAATTATCTTTGCTATTGTTCGGAAGAAGGAACATGTATTACTATTAACGAGTAATTAAGATTCAAACGAAGCCTACAACAGATATTTTAATAAGCTAACAAGAGTTATCAAACACGATTTAGCTAGATTTCGTCATACTACGTTGTCCTATAACAATAGTGTTCCAAATTTAAATCGTGCCACCTCATAGGCACGCTGGCAACTCTTTCGACACAACTCATTTAACACTAGGCAACAAAAAATCCAATTCAGCCAACAAAATAGACGAGATGTTTGGATCAATATGGAGTGTTCAAAGTGCTTTGTCATAGGGTGTAATCGAGGTGGCGCCTTTGTCCGATGTCGGCGTTTTTTGTATCGATATCTGATGAGTATTGCTCCCATTTCGCCGTAAAAAAACTTTGATAGCACTGACGGACTGGGTGGGTGTGGGTTTTAAATTTTTATTGATTGATTTTTAGTACATAATATAATATTTAGAATACTTGATAAAAAATCAGATTTCTAATATGTAATTGAGTAATTGAAATTTATTTTAATACACGGAAAAGAAAACGATAAGATAGCAAACCCAGATCAATATCGGTTCTAATGGGAATTTTCATGTTTTTACAAATATGAATCTTGAATATTTTATGAAATTCAAAAATAAACTCCATTTAATACAATCACGCACACACTTCTTCGGTTAAAAGGTCGTTTGACAGACTTGTATTTTATTATAATATAATGTATACTTTTCTATTGATACCAGTTCAGTTTTTTGAGAAGCATGCTACTGCTTCTGCGGCTTCATACTGTTTATAGGTGATAGGAACTGTTGTGACTAATGCGGAATTCAAAGAAAATTGCGAGAGCGATTGAGACTGATTGAGAGAGAGAGTGAGAAGGGCGAATTACCTTGTAGAAATTATATTTTTAAAATAAAAATTTCGTAAAGAGAATTTATGAAATATTAGTATTTTATATTTTATGTAAAATTATTTTATGGATCTCAAATGACGAATTGTCTATTAAAATGCCACGTGTTTATACTATCGAAGAAATAAATGAAAAAAAAAATATAATTTGTATTATTTCCGACACTTTTAATATTTTAATGACAATTAAATTCGTTAAATTCCTAACGTATCTTCCTTTTTCCTTCCCTTTAAATCTCGGAAATCTAAAGTTTAAGATTTGTATAATATGAATAAGACTTAAAAAGAAGCTTCACTTCTGACATATTGTGTACCTACTTTGTATGCAAGCACTTGTTTTTTTGTCTAACCAGTGCCTCTCATACGTTATAGTCTTCATCGTCCTATTGCGATGTTTGAAGGGCCCGAGTCACGACGGATTAAGACAATAATATTTTTAAGCTGAAACTCATCCACTAATAACTTATTACAAGATCGCCTACCGATCCGTGAAGTGACTATCATAAACAGGGATTGTGGACCGAGTTATGTACCCGAGACACGCCATCCAGGTATTATACCCAACGATAAATTAGCTCTTCGCACCCCGATCTCACTCCGTAAATCGAACAGCGATGATTTATGCACAATTATCGATTAATTCAAGCAGCGGTCGTATTTAATCGATATTAGGATTCGATTGAGCGAAATTTTTGTTGTACTTAAAAGCTATTTCATTTACACGTGCGTTTTGTTTACTTAATATTACTCAACCTACAAATAAAAGTGTTTCTACAGTTCGAATTCGACCCCCATACACAGAGGAAATATTCAATTGACCCGCAGAGATAATGTAAAATTTTCTAACATCAAAATGTTCGCATAATTTAATATTAAAGTGTATATTTTTTTCATGTTGTGTTGACAAGTCATCATAATTACTGAATTACTTTGTACCAAATATTGTAACTATAGAGCATCGACTAGGCTATTTCCGATTTTTATGAGAAATATAAATAACTAGTAACTTATTATTGACATATACAAATCTGAGATCAAACCATAAACAAATAGCAAAGTGTAATTCTATCCGTGATGCAAAACCTCGCCCATCGATCAGAAACGCCTTAACGTAGTTATTTTATTATGTTATTTGCAGGGCTGTACACGATGAGACCATTTCATATCGTTGAAAGAAAACAAAGAGAAAATTTTGTAATTTCCTTCTAATTTATTTTTTTGATATGTTTTTAACTACGATCCGATAAAGTATAAAATTTGGATAAAGTGTGGCATACGTTTTTAGCAAAGTTAAAAAATTGGGGTAAAACCGGTTGAACTAATGTACAGCGTAAACTATGTTTTAATGTTCTAGTTCTTGACAAAACACCTGCCTAGAACATTCCTTTATTGAAACAAATTAAGTATGCGTACCTAATGTAATTGCGGAATATGTATAATACATATATAGATTATTTTTGTTTAAGTAACAATATAATGATTTTGGTTTTAAACGATTACACCGTAAAAAACAATTTAAACTATTTGTTGTTATTGAAACCCTATTCCATTCTAGCTCCAAGCACGTGTCATCATTTTCCCAATAAATGTAGTCCATTTTATTCCACAATACAATCACTTTTATTACAAGGATGTTACAGTTTATATTATATCAGCAAAGTGTGGTTATCAGGAGATAAGGCTCACGTTCAAAATAATTTGTTTGGATAGATTATCTCTTATACGTAATTGTTTTCTTAGTATTTTATACGATTATGATATTTTGAATAATATTATACAATTTGCGTTTGAAATGCCAAATGTCGATGTATTTCGAAGAGATACGATAAACGATATTGCATTGTAATATAAACGAACTAAAAAGCTAAACACATAAACAAACACAAACACATGTTTAAATTGGCCTCTTAAATACTTTACTTATGTTTATGCTCACTCACTCACTCCGCTGGCTCTGCGACCCAAAAAGTGTCTCCGAAACGAGAAACTTCCGGCGCTTCCTGTCCTGTACCACCTCTCGTCAATCCCTGGCTTCCAGCTGCATCAGGTCCTCCACTCTGTCGATACAGCGATCTAAATATGTAATATTATTTATTTTTACTTTTAAAGTTAATTTTAATGCTTTTTTTAAATATTATTATTATGATGTACAGCTTCGGTTAAGATTGTATTCATTACAATTTTATGTGAGTACAGTCAAAATCTGTTATAACGACATCGAAGGGACATTCATATTTGGTCGTAAAAACCGATAGTCGTAACAGCCGATGACGTTATTATTTAGTACCTAATGCAATAGAATTCAGCCGGGACCTTTGATTTTGGTCATTATAACTGGTATGTTGTTCTAAACGATGTCTTCGTAAACGATTTTGACTGTATTTGCAAAATAATTCCCTATTATTGACTTGAATAAAAAAAAATTATAACAAAAATTCATGTGACTTGGAACAAACAATTATCTAATCACCATATTTACTTACATGAAAATAATAATTATATATAAAACAACAGTGTTGCACATCCTCTTCAAGTAACTGAAAAAAATTATGACCGAAATGAAGAAAAGATGGACATGGTATGGTACCTAAAGCTGAGAAATAAGCACAGTCTGCACGCTCCTTTAAAATTATCTAAGGAGAAAACATTTTGTAGCAAAGTTAGTCGATTGCCATTCTGGTCACGCTCAAATTTTAAGCCGAAGTGTCGGCTAGAAGGTACTTAGACATTGGTTTTGAAGATCCTTAATGTACCCCATCTCTGTGAGGTCGCCTTATGTCGTCGTATGCCTTGCAAACTCATAGAACTTAACGTTAACAAATTAATTACAATATTCAAAAGTTATCTTTAAAAGCATTAGTGATTCTGTCATCGTCCATGTCAGTAATGAACCTGCTCAAAAGTTACATAAAAAGAAATTCATTGATTGAATCATACACATTACCGAATTAACGGTTGCCGTTCGCAACAGGTGTAGCCGCACCTGCCCCAACGGTCAATTTCTTTGTCCCGTCTGGATAGAGCCTTCGAACTTAAAGGTGTTTCCAACAGTATCCTTTTCCGGGACATATTGGGACCATTGTGAACCAATCAAAGGTCAGCTGCCTTGTAATTAATATTATTACACGATAAGAAAGAGTGCGTTATCGGATGTATAATCATTAGTAGACCTGTAAATAAGTGTCCTTTCACAGAGAGCAGAGCTTATTATATTTAAAAGCAAGTATATATTTATTTCAAATAAGAGCTAAGCTTGAACCTAGACTACACCTGACAACGACAGACCGCGGTCGGTGCAAAACCGGTGTTCTTCATTAGTAACATCAATATGTGACCCTTACTTTGTTCGTGAACTCGTGAGGTGACCAATTTTAATTACCCTCTGCAATAAAAGTCCTATTTTAAAATGGTAAAAGGCAAGTGCAATTGAACACTAACCACACTTCGTGCGGGTCGCGGGACAGGTGCGGTCCGCACGCGTCGACCGTTAGCGGTAGAAAGCTCGCGACCGCTCAAACACGCGACTGGGGTGACTACACTTACAATTAATTAGCATACTGATGAGCTATTGTTATTGCTTCATGTAAATAAATAGATAATCAATTAAGAGTTTATTGTTGCATATTACAGACGCTGGTCCTTACAGTAGGACACTCCTGACACTACCTATAACCACTTGGTATCCATGCGATTAATACTAATTCGCCCGTTATTATGTTCTTGGTTAAAATTCGTAATACATTTCGAAATGATTTCGTATAGGGATAGGAGAAGGAGGAGACATAAGATCTAGAAGTATGGTCAAGCAGAGTTACCCTACAATCTTGAACATACTGAAGAGATTAATGACTAAAAAATTGGACTTCTGTTGTTTTACAAGGTACTTAACTGCATGCCTTCTCTTTGTTAACGTTATCAACGTAACCAGAACTATGGTAAGTCGGTAAATTAATATTTTAGATATTGAGGTGGACAAAAATTATTTCAGGAATAATATTCATTCAATACCAAGTTAAAAGCAAGCAAAGCTTTTCAATACTAAACACCTTTCATAACAAGTAGGGTTAGGTTTTTTTGAGACAAAATTTACGAAAAATACATTTGAAATGAGAACTGACTATGACTAATGAGACTGACTAGTGTAAGCAATTATTTCATTATTATGTGCCTTAGAGAGTAGATTTATTTATTAATATAACTGGCGACTAAATAATTAATTCCAAAATCTTCTATTCTCTGGTAGCCTCAACTGTCGTCAGCACACCTACTTTTTATACTCTTTGACCTCCCATGTTACTTATAAGAGAATTAAATCGTAATTTTAGCGTCATTATCGTGTACGGCACAAATCTATCTCTCCCATAAGTAGAGTGATTACAACAGCTCTTATGGACGTTTAACACTCCAGTTAAATATAAATCAAAATTATTCCGCGATTATAAAGCAATTTTAACGAATATGAAAAGCGTTTAATAATAGTTATATGTAGTTGCCGTTAATAACAATGAAGAGGAACAGTTAATTCAAATAATTCACGAAGGAAAATGCTCTTTACAATAACGTAAGACGAAGTCTACTTAACTACGTAGAATTTCTATTCGAATATAATGAATTAACTTTGTTTGAAAATAAAATACTATGCCCTAGAAACGTTTTACATTTGACATTAGATAGACAATTTTTAAACAAGTTAAACGAAACTTAAATGTACTCTTAGATTTTGCAAAAATAATATTATTTTGTCATAAAAAGCTGGAAAAAAAAATACTCAGGACAAGTAAAGGACACGTCAAATAATTATTAGAATACAAGGAAAGGAAAGGTGACATGACATTGGTATTGTGCAAAAAAGCTAACTGTTAAACAGTTCTACGCATTTGAAAACTAGATGACCTTAATGGAGACAGTCTAATTGATCTGACATTTGAAGCACGGGGCATTTGTTTCACCTGTTCTTGCGAGACCCGTCGCCACCCTCGTAACCTTTTTTAACCGACCTTTTTGATGATATGCGTTGCATTATATAATTTACCCATTCCTGAAGTGTGCCTCATGAGAAATAATAGATGGAATCATCAATTGTAAATATTACAAATAATAATCCCTGTAATTTAACAGCTAAATTTATTTTTACGTTAGACATGAAATAGTACAGCAAATACAAAAGTTTTCCACTTATTATTCAATTCGAAGATACACACTCCATTACACAATCCAATCTCATAGCAGCATGTTCCGTCAGATAATGGTGGGTGTCTTTCTAAGAATATTTAAATTAAACGTTGAAAATCAAATTAAAAGTCAGGCACGACCCGTGGAGCGTTACGTGGGGTTTTGGACAATAAGCTCGTGCCCAAACTATGAAATCACAGTTAGTCATCGTTCACTTGGTGATTTACTTTTGGGTTCCAGATTGCTGTAAACTTTAAACGGAGATAAATTTGCTACGACTAAGTTTGGCTACGATTAGGAAACTTATCTTTTTCCGTTCCTCGTGCTGTCGTGTCGTGTGTGTCAAAAGGAAGCTTTTAATAGATGAACAATGAAGACACAATACACAGAATGAGTACTTAGCTTCTTAATGTCCTAAAATCCTAATGAGTATTTAGAACTCTAGAGTTATAGTTGTTGATAAGTAAAGCATATCATAAAAAAGTTATTTTAAAATTTCCATCTAAACAATTGTAAAATATGGAGAGTTGAAATGCAGAACCCTCGAATGCCACTTTTGTACAAAAAATAGCGCAAGGTGCGGTGGACCGCAGTGAATCAGACCACGCGACACCGTGACGATTGGTGCGCGCACGCTTCCAAAATGAAACTACTAAGCATGACGATAATGATAAAACAGCGGACGCATTTCACTGCGAGTATTGCCCCTCGACTGCTTAACTTTGCAGTTGAAAAGCCAGCATCGTATTGCGTGAATGATAAAGCATCAACAACCATAATTCCAATTCGATATAGTGATGGAGGCAAGATGGGACGTATCGCAAAAAAGAGATCGTTAGCTATATCAGAGATTGGAATGAGTAAAGAATAAAGCACGATCGTGCCCATCCGGCCGTGTTAGTACAGGCCAGTCAAGTGGTAAATTGAAGGACGTAATGATAACATAAGTATAGGTAAACCCTTTTTGTGATAATCATTCTTTATTTTTACATTACTGGCCCCGACAACTCGGCGACTCTTTAGTAAATATTTATTTCTGGTAAATTATACCACTTTAATCAATAAGGAACCAGATTTTTAAATGTGTTAAATCTAATAAATCTAATAATAGTGACTTAATTAAATAGAGAAAGTAACGACAGGAATAATGCCCTCCGTAAATAAGCGGTAAATAGGGAGAAAACAAATTGCAATACAAAGGCAATCTAAACATATTTTGCCCACAAAAGAGCATCATTGTCAGATAATAAGGCATGTCAGCGGATACACTAGGATATATTAATTGAAGTAAAAAACGACGTTTCCGATTTTATCGTACAAATAACATTCAATAAGTATTAGTTGCCGTATGGTTCATTGGCCATGTGTCGCGCATATGTTCCCGCCATAATGATACATTCATACATATTCATAACAATCCTACAATTTCACCTTATATAGCACCTTTTGTTGTCTTTTTTGTTTCACCCCTTTACGCCAGCGGTTCATTGGTAGCGCAACACGCCAATTAAGAAGTAAGGGATTGTTTACGATTGATTTCGGGGAACTCTTCTCTGTATGTATGTTTTCCTTTATATTACATCTTTTGAATACTCTTAACTATGCGCTGCTACAAAATAAAAATGCATTCAAAACAATGATAAGCTAAGGCTGAAGACACCTTTATATTCAGTACAAGGGATACCATACAAAGAGTACACAAGAGAAAGCTATTTCAGCAGACTTAATCCCCAAACAATCTATTCACGAATAACAAGTTTCATAAATTATACCGTGCGAAGAACCACACCCACTCATGATATAGTTCCAGCAATCAGTAGTTAATTATTTTATTAATGTAAAACACTTTACACATAAACTACTTGAGTGTTGCCATGGCAATTCAAGTTTTACTTCATTAAACAGTGTTTTGAGGTAATTAATGATTTAATGAGGGCTAGATTCGGTTTGTTTTATAACATGATTAGTAATCGCATTTTATGGCTCGAATTAAAGACGTTTACATTACGCAAGGGTTTGGAGATGTAGAAAGCTTTTGACAGTAGAATTGGTATGTTCAAGCTGCACAACACAGACAGGCTTTCGATTAGCTTGTCTCTGTGTATACATAGTGTATATAGCTTTATTAATCAATGGTAAATGAAGCTGGTGGCGTCTTATAATAAAAGCCATCAAGCACCCATCTGCGTATTTGCCCTTTCTCTGATGATACAAAAACAACACGATGTTTGTAATAGGAATAGGGAGAGCCACCGTAATATAAGTTTCACCCAATTTAGGGTTCCTTCTTCTAAAGAACATTCTATATGCTCTATTCCGATGTTAACAGTAGTGAGTCGATAAATAAATGAACATTAGTTGGCCTAGCGGCTTCAGCGTGTGACTGTCATACCGGAGGTCGTAGGTTCGAGCCCCGGCTGTGCACCACTGAACTTTCTTTCTATGTGCGCATTTAACATTCGCTCGAACGTTGAAAGAAAAAATCGTGAGGAAACCGGCTTGCCCAAAAGTTGTCAGGCACAGGAGGCCGACCACCTACTTGCCTATTATTATTGACAAATGATCAGAGTTCTGAGCCCAAGACTTAGGGTTTAGGGTAGTAGGACTCCTTTCTCCGCAATTAGACTCCCAATTGGTCCGTTGAGCCCAAGACTTAAAAAGGTCTGTGTAAAGTTGTAGCGCCACTGTTTTATTTATTTTAAATAATAAATTTAAGTTCAAAATTAATATTGAATTTGTAATTTTATTCACCCAAAACTATAACTGTACTGAAAATATTGTATTTTGATCTTTTTTATTATTCTTTATTGTTGTAAATATTAAAGTAATTTTTGAATGAAAAAGCATTACGGAACACGTCCACTTAAATCTGATCGCACTTCGTAAGCTTAATATTAACAGACCTTAATCTGGCCCAACTCATGCGCAAGGCAATAAATCATTATCGATGATAACTAGCGTGAATATTTTTTAAAAAGTCGCCTACGCGATACTCTTCTCGTAATTACATTACGATATTACTCTTCTACATGTCATCAAGAACTATTTTACTTAAAGAGTCGTGATTTTAATATTATTTTTTTCATTAGGAAAGTCGAAGCCTTTTATTGGAACATAAAGGCATCGTACTATATTTACTAAAAACACCTTTTTTTAAATTATAGTCTAATTCTATGTTATTGTAGAAAGCAGTTAACTTTCTAATTTCAAAAGATACTCTAACAAAAAATAATTAATATGTACTAGCGTGAAGGGATGTAGATATTAAGACAATTATTGAACAAAATATAAAAAGACCTTTCTCGTATCCCATCAAGATATCGAAGTAGTCAAAGGTCATGAAACATTTGTATTTTGTTTTTGAATATTAAGATTTGTAGATTTTATCTATTGCATTAAAATCGCATTATTATAAGACTATTTTCGTTTGAAATATTCCGATAGATCAATCAATATTTCCGACACGAATGTTAAAACTTACCTCATTTATGAACTTTTCTGCGAGTCTAGACAACTGACATTAATTACCAACGAAAATAGACAAAGTCGTAATTCATTTTTATTGCACGCTAGTGGGAATTGATTAGGAAGAGATACCTCTGCTGGCTGCTCCAAACGGTTGCTAATTAATGCTTCGATATTAAAGAAGCCGATTGTCGATCTTACCCGAGTATGGATCGCGATAAGGCGTATACGCGTAGCGCCCTCTATCGAAACTTCCTGCAAACATTTGACGAGCATGTTGACTAACCAAATTCGTAGTTGCGACGACGAAACCTAGTGCGATAATCTTAAAAACGTTTAGAAATTCGAATTATTATGATCAATGGCGTCTGGAACATTTTTAAAGGCTTTCTACTAATCGTGGAAAATAAAAAAAAACGATTAAAGCCAATCAGTTGACAGTGGTTACGAGCGCACAATGTCGTAATTTTAGTACACTTAAATAATATATTCCATATTGATGGGAGTGGTGGCCACAATAACGTACCACCTCACCTGCCTTTATATTGACAACTACATGTGGTATACGCAATGGGGTTTGGCGAGAATATTTACTGCACTGTACTGCACTGTTTTGCAGTGTAAATACGTTCATCTATTAATGTTCGTTAAACGCGATTGTGTTCCTTAAACAACTCGCATCGAAAAATTCATTTATTCTTACGACGACTACTAACTGTTGTTTCTACTTGTTACAGGCCTTGTTTTTGATGTTTTGACTATATTGATAAATATAATATGATAACCTTTCGCGTATGAAAAGCACTCGAAACGTTGAGTTTTGTAAATAATGCAGTAAATTCGCGTTTATTATATCCGTTAAGAAAGTCTTCTATCTATACATGCCTATAATGGCTAATAGGATACAATGAATTTTTGATAGAATTTTATATTACACGAGTACGAATCGCTTATGCTTTAGACCGCTAAGGGAACCCGCAGGCAAATGCCCTCAGCTGATGAATTGCAGTAACGTTACAAACCAAATTGTTAGTTGCAATCTTTTAGCTTGAATCTCTTGATTCGTGTTGAGTACATAAAACATTTGGTGTTGGGCTGCGGAATCGCCTACTATTAATTAATTACCTCGTCCTCATTAGGGAAAATGTCTAAGCTTAGGTTTATACGCATTTGAGGTAATTTTACAAGATGATGAATGAAATAGCATGGTAATCTATTTTGTAACGTTATAATGTAGTGTTGTATGTACATCTACGGCCCCTGTCGTTACGATCGATAGAAAACTTTGACCTTAGTAAAGAGCCTAAAGCGACTACGGTAACGAATGTAATATGTTATTATTTTTTTATTATCTTCGATGAATAGTTAGAAACGAGTATGATGCGCACGTGCCGGGAGCGTCTGCCATTATTTCGGTACCTCAGATCTTATCAAGAATAGTTCATTCAATCGTTTGCGTAACTGTTTATTCGAGGATGGCTCTTGCAATAGATTTTCATTTCAAATATTACGTGTAACGTTTGTTTTAATTGTAAATGTTTTCTACAAAAAAATAATATTTTATTAATTTATATATCTTGGTAATAAAAACAAAGCTTTACGAAACTTTAAATAAGTAACATTATACATATCATGGTTAGTGTATTATTAGAATGGCGCAGGATTTCATAAAAAGGTTGAGACGAAGACAGTCTTTGGTCCGATATGAAATATTCTCTTGTTAACTAAGTATTTTGAATACTCCATCGTGTTACTGTCTACAGCTTAATAATAGTTCGTGTTCTAAATACATATCAATCATTAACTTTGATTAATCACTTCAAAACATTACAACTCAATCGAATCATAACTCAAATGCCAAAAATGAAGACTTCACTTCTTCGTGAAACTAGCATTGACTATTTTGATTCGGTAACTTTGCTTTAAAAATATTAAATTACCGCCTTTGGCTATTAATTGACCGGATATGTTACACATCTCCTGTGTTCAAGCAACTATAACCTTTAGTACGGGATGATAGAGAACTTGTCTACAAGTCATATCCAAAACTTCATTCAGTAAAATTAAGGCACTTTCCGATAGTAACAATAATAGTAGCCTGAAGCTAGCAATAACGTATTTACTGGTCGTAAGTTGTAACTATATTTCACTTTTATTGGTATGCATTTTAATTGATTAAATCGATGCTATTTTTGAGGGAATTTTCATATATTATGTACAGGTAGAAAGTAGATTAATAATAGTGTTCTAAAAATATTTCTTGTATTTCTGTTTAGAGTTTAGAGACTCACTTTGCAAAGGGGATCTCTTGTTTTATTCAATGTGTTTGAGATAAAAGGTTTTGAAAGAAAGAACAATCTGTCCGGTTTATTTTTTAAGGGTCAGACTGGTTGTCTATTACAATTA